GCATTCGAAATTAGAAATCAGATGGACGTGCTTAAATCTCGATATCGTCGTCAGGATTGATTGTCCTAAAGTCCTTGATTGGGATCCCCTTTGCGTTTTTGATCTTCTTGCTTGCCAGTTCTAAGAATTAATACACTGAAAATAATGCTACCATAGTAAGTAATATTTACTTGACAAATGAAATGGTCACTCCGATATTAGAAATAGAAATATAATTGACTATATATATGATATTTCCTTCGTATAAGTAAACATTTACTTGTATATATTAAACAATTGCGACAAATATGAAATTTATAATATTGAGAACATCAAAATCTATTCTTAGAAAATATTCTTACTATACGGAAAAATGTAAAACCTTTAAAATCACCAGGTTTCTTCAACGGAGAAGAAGTATTACATATAATTTTAGTAAATATTTTCGTAAATTTTAGAGACATTTTACACTTACACTGAACAGTTAATTTACAAATTGAGATATTATTGCGTTCAAGTAAGTATCTACAACAGTACAAACTATTAAAATATATTTAAGTTGATAAAAATTATGCTTGATTTAAGAGGCTAAAAAACAGGTAATTATGTTAGCTTTTGAATAAGAACTATTCAAGGATATCGAATTGACATACTAAGTTGCGCGTGACATAGGAACGCGTTTTTCTGCGTAGAAAGATAAACATGTTTTAACGCTCGTCACACGCAACCTAGTACGTAAATTCGAGATCTATGATTACTCTTTTTACTTGCTTTTACGTCTTGCAACTCGCGTTTTTCCACGTGAGGTACCAATCATGGAATAGTCACGCTTCTCATATTACGATTGTCATGCATACCTGAATTTTCACGGGATTCAAATGACTTACATCAGTATGATCCAAGTAAGGGGGCGTCGGTTCGAGCCGTCGTGAACGCGCGCATCATCCGAAGGTCCGCAATCAATTCACGGACTGATTCGTCGCGAGTCAACCGCATTGTGTACGTGCGAATGATTTACGCGAAGTTGATCGCCGTCGTTGTTTCCCTCGTTCATTCATACTGCACCTCACGCGCTGCACCGCCGCACACGAACTGTGCCCACCTGTCTACCGCGCAAATAGCAGAATCGGATGCGCTCGTAAACCCCCTTCGAACTAAACGGTGTAACCGATGCTTGTAAAAGCGGTTCTATCCGTTACTCCAGATTAACGGACGATCTCCCGATGTTGATACGATACGTCGATGTCATAATTTAACGAAACTGTTACGCGGACGCGCCGCGAATAAATCGATGAGCCAAGCGATCGCTTTATAACACGCGCCACTTTCCGCATTCCCGACGACACGCGCGTCCGCGCGGGCAAACTTTTCCGAGTGACGAATGTAAAATTTTAAGTGGGACGCGTACGTACGTCTGTCCAACTCGGTGTTGCGCCGGCAACCACCGCCGCGGCGTATGCATTATTCACTCACTAAATAAAACTAAAACTACGTACGTATGCATCTTGATCGTAATTATTAGTCTCAACACGTTAATAACTCGGCGAATTTACGGCTCCCCGTCGTGAAACACGTCCCGGATCGATATATTGAAGATACCGATCTCGATGAGCGGAGATTTCTTGTTTGTTCGCATAATCAGCCGGTCCGTCGACTTTTCCTCCCGTGATATTTCCGGCGAGTCGCCGCGTTTTATGTGGGTTAATACGCGAAGGAGATACCGGGAAGAATTAAAGCGACACACCCGAGAAATGCCACTACCATGCGCGACGAGCGCGAGAGAACGGCCGGTGAGAAGTTAAAGAGACACGAAGAGAAGTCGGATGCGTAACCTTTTTTCCACGCGAGACAAACGTCGGATATAATACGACGGAAATGCTCCCGCGCCGTGACGGTAGGAGTGATTTGTTAATCAGGTCTGAATATCCGCGACGACGACTCTCGATAGAGGCGGTCGTTTCATTGTTATCGTGCTCGCGCGTGTCGAAATCACACTTACCATTAATTTTTTCCTTATTCTCTCTTTTTACATTTTTTTAATTACACACACATACACACTGTCGGTTCAGTTGCGAAAAAGTCGCCCGCCGACATCGAGGGAACTTGACGTCGCGAAGCATCGATTCTCGACGAATCGAGTCCGTCCGTTTCGGAGCCCCTTTACGTAATTTTCTTCTCTTTTTACGTAATCCGAGGCAGCCTTTCGCGTCTTGCGGCCTATATTCACGCATCGGGTGCATCTTTGTCGCCGTTATTAACGATCATCCGTTATTATTCCGAGACAGCTGTTGCGCGTAGAAAATTACTATCGCGCGAGATGTGCCCGTAATACCGCGCGTCGTTTTCTTTTTAGTGCTAGCAGCATAAAGGCGCATCTTTTATCTCGACTCTTTTACGAGCCCGTTTCGGCATCGACTGGCCCCGTTACCTAGATTTTATCGAGGAACCAAATGGGAACGTGACAGAGAGAAGGAGTAAAAGGAGGAGGAGGGACTTGGGGAGCAGGATGAGCGGACGGACCCTCGAAAAAATAAATCGGTCAGACAAATAACGGCACCTGGCTTGACGGTCTTGACTGGCGAGATAGAGAGAGAGAGAACGGCACAAAAGTAGCTAATATCTGTTTATTTCCTGTTTTCGAGATCGAGTTTCCACGCCTCTCGAAATGATATGGACTATCAAAAGTTTAATAAAGCCCTGTGTAGAAAGGGGGATTTAAAGTCGGCGTCACGAAAGAAAAAAATTCTATCAATCAGCCGATAGAATATGTCCCGTACGTTTCTGCATATTTTTTCTCAAAAATTCAAACGTCACGTTTCTCTCTCTCTCTCTCTGATTGCTTTTCTACTTAAGCAAATCTCCTCTTCGAGTGATGAATTTCCTTTGACGCGTATATTTTCGAGAGTGCATTTATTCGCTTCGGTATAACGCGGAACTGCAGAAATAAAGAATTATGTATTACCCAAGAGAGAAGAGGCTCTGTGTCGCAGAAACGCGTGTCTTCGATCGATAATTCTCGAACAACCCGATACGTGGAGTCCGATTTTTAAGCACACACGTGGGAAGGGCATTCCCGAAAAGTAGGTCCTTTCTCTCACCTCAGAGAAGGGAGAAACGTCGAAAGAGAGAGGGAGAAACACGAGGGAGGAGGAGAAGCGAGAGTAGGAGGAGGTGTTGGTGGAGGAAGGGTAGAAGGAAACGAAAGGACGCAAGGCGGAAAAGTATCGGCTCTCTCTCCCTCCCCCCCCCCGCTTTCTTTCGGTGCAGCTAGCAGGCTCATCGTAACGTGGCGATTTGTTCGATGGGTCCAATGTCTTTGATTATTCGTTTAACGGGACTTGCACGCGTCCACCGTGCCGACGAACGATGGTTTCTCCGGTGGACGGGGGTTAGTGATTCGGCTGACACTCAGTCTTCTTCTAGGCGGGCACGCGCGTGGATTGCTCCGGTTACGCTGATAAGAGAGAGTTAGCAATCGCCGAAACCCCGCGACTCTGACGAGACGCGAGTCGCCGTGACGAGGAACTTACGATTTTTCCCGACACCGTTGGGACAAGCTAATATTACATAAAGCAAAAACTTAAAAAATCGTGACACTTAATTTTCTAATAATTCGGTCACATCAAGTGCAATCGTCACGCACGATTCGCGCTCATCCTTCAAACGTCCTCTAACCCATCGGTAACGCGACAATTACGGTGACTTTTATTTTTGACTTTTTTCCGCCATGTACGCTGTTTAAATTGTCAGCTAAATCGTTAACATTATCGTGGTTTGATAAGTATCCTTGTGACGGGAAGGTCGCATACGTTCAATCGCGTTCGAACATTCCGAAGAGCAACGTTGTACTCTAATCATCTCGAGGCACGTGCATCGTGCGATTTCGTCGCGAGTTTTGACAGGTCTCCGGCGCCGGTTTCGGCGAGAAGACTGTCTTTTCACGTATAAGTGCAGTTACACGTCGTAGCCACGCGGTGGAGTTCACGACTCCGACGCGGTGAATGCTAACACAGAATCCATCCCCGGATCAACATCTAAATATTCCACATATAAATGTAATGTAAAATAAAGTAAAATACTTAAACGCAAAATAACCGTAAATGAATAAAATAAAACGTTTAAATGTGAAAAAAAGCATTTGAATCAACATTTAAATACCCGCCGGGAACTGTTGTCTTAAAGGTCTCGACTGCCTTGGGACAAAGCACGAGGATTCTTTAAATGGATAAAAAACGTGACTCAAAGATCGCGGGTTAACCACCGAATTCGATGATCTCGCGTCGAACGAGTGAGACTCGTCGGCAGAACGCGCCCGTGCAGCAAGAGGCCGAGCAGGATTACCAGCGGCCGACGACACGAAGAGAGTCTCGAGAGCGTAGCACGAGGAGGGGACGGGTTGGAATTTAAATATTTATCATTTGACGAACCTCTCTCGGGGGACCTTCGTTGCGACGTGCCCGGTAATTCTCCTAAACCTCAGTCGACTTTGAAATCTCCGTCGGTGTGCATCGCCGGTGGCGCGCGAGGCGCGCTCCGTGCTCTGCTGTGTTTGCGCGTCGTGTTTCAGCACACTAAGCGCTCCCAACCACGGGTTCCGTACTGTCGAACGTAAGTTAACACGCCGAGTTCCGATCTCCCCCTCTCGGTTGGTGACAATCGTCGCCTCGACCGGGACTCGTCTCGCGACTAAGACTCGCCGTAAAGTCGAGCGGACGAATTAATTGGCCTTACCGTACCCGATAATTAGTGAATGGATCTTATCTTCTTTCATCTACCATCGAATTAATAGAACTCACGGCGAATCGCAAGGATCACGGAAGCCAACGGTGCCGGCGGTCGTGTCCTGATTTCGATTTTAATTTATGCGTGCTTCGTTATTTTTTCTCTCTTTCTCTCCTGGATCTTGTACCGGCGAAGGCAAATATTTAACGGTGATCGTAATGAGTTATAAAAATCGTGAAAACCACGTGTGATGCGCACGTATTACAGATGCCTTCTTCTTTTTTTTTTTCTATGGAAAGGTGTTTCTGGATCATCGAGCTAAGGATGAGGTAGGACAACTGGTCGGCGCCAAAACCCATGGCGCAACGCCGTTAGTCATGGCATGTCGGAACGGACACTACGACGTCGCCGAGTATCTCATCGAAAAATGTGGGGCGGACGTGGAGCAACCTGGGTCAGGTGAGAGCGCAATCCTCTCATTAACGGCCTTGTGTTCGGGCCGGCGAACCGCCGGTATATCCGGATTTTTCCAGCCGTCATCTCGCCGAAGCGAAACGCTCGCGTAAATTTGTGTTCACGAATTATTGGGAAAAATCCAGGCCGAGGATGAGTTTCTACGCGGGCCGTTATTGTTGGGCAAATCAAACTCGTTTTATTTGATGTTTGGTTTGACTACACGGGGAAAAATTCCAGTTTGTGCAACGGGATGGGCCGCCGGACGAAAATTCGCCGACAAGATATCTCTGTATATATCTCGCGACCGAAAACACTCGCACTGCGAACATTCGATTGCGTTAAAACTCGGTTGAGATAACTGAAAAACAATTGACCAAAAATCCCCTACAGGAATGTTTGTGTCCTTATAACTGAGTGTTCGTTTGATCTCCAGATGACAGACACGAACCAATGTTTTTCTACATAGCAACTTTTAGTTCGATCGATATCAGAAATGAAACATTTGATCCGCTGATATTATTTTTTATGATATATTATTGTACACGTTGTATATATATATATATCCGGTTCACTAAAATATTTAATAAACGTTCCGGTTTCGATTTTCTGAACAATGAAAATGCCGGTAAATCATTTAAATTACGGTTTTCTCCGGTTCCGGTTTTTTAACTCGTTTTTTATTGACTTAAATTTTATAATATATATATAAAAGTAAATAAATATCAATTTTTAGTATTCGTAATGTGTATCAGAACATAACTTTTTTCATCTCAACCGAGCTCTTTGTCGTTAGCGGCAAGAAGCTACCACGTTTAGAATTCTGCGCAAATGCTTGATACTCGACGCATGAATGGCATCTATAAGCTCGGTTTACTCTAGTCAGAGCGCGACAATTACATATGTAACGCACTGTTAGGAACAAATGATGCGATGAACATCTCGTTTTTCTCACGTTATATCATTGCCACGTCAGCAGAACGTTTATTTTGCAACTATTGCAAGTTTTCCGAGCTGAGATTGAATTATTCTTTCGGATCTAGAAGAACAATCCAATCTCAGGAAAACTTCCAACAGTTCTAAAATAAACGTTCTGCTGAACGCGACCATCATACCGTCGTTTGCTTTATTCGATTCGCGACTATTTCCACCGCGTTTGTCATTCGATCGATTTCCTCCCGCGAGCCGAAGTCGCGAAATTCGCTTTTGGCGCTAAGGGATGATCATCTGCGCGTTTCCAGTGGTCTTCGATGGCGAGACGATCGAGGGTGCGCCACCCTTATGGTGCGCGGCAGCCGCCGGCCACTTGGCACTGGTTAAGCTACTGGTGAAACGAGGCGCCAAGGTGAACTCGATCACAAAGACGAACTCCACGCCTCTTCGCGCCGCCTGCTTCGACGGGCATTACGACATCGTCAAGTTTCTGGTGCAACACGGCGCAGGTAGGAAACGTAGAATCTCAATTATATTATAAATTATTTGCCGTCTGCACGGAAAAAATGTATATCAATTCAAAATTCATACTCTCATATATAAGCGGAAATATATAATTTATATGGATATAAAACTTGCTTGTATGAACAGGTGTTATATAATTCTATTAAAAATATGCTCTTGTTATTCAAGAATAATTTTCATGAATTGAGAGGAAAAAAGTATTGGATGGAAAATATGAAATATCTTCAAACAGATACAATTCTTGGTTCGAAGATATCGTTTTTTCCATTTAATATTTTTTCCTCTCAATTCATGAAAGTTATTTTTGAATAATTTGAATACAATCACTGAGAAAAAGAAATTGAAATTTTACGAAGTAAATGTTTTCCATGGCATAATCTTCGATATTTATTGATTAAAAAAAATTTGATGACGGAATATATACTTTTGTGAAATATATACCTAAGTTTTTTTATTAATTGATTTATTTGCTAGGAATAAAATTTTATTTCGCTGTATTTGAATAACATTTATTTCGGTGAAATAAATTTATATTTCTCAAATAAATCTCTAAGTTTTTTTTTCTTAGTGATATTTTTAGTGAAATTATAGAATTCTTTTACGTAAGCAAATTGTATCTTCATATGACATTATATATATTCTTGTTTATACAGGGTGTCCTAGATCAACAAAGACAAACTTTCTAGAGGGAGAAGGAGATTGGGAGGAGTAGAACGGATTTAGACGAACAAAAAAGTCCTGTGTCATTTTGCAAAGAATATATAAAATTTCGAGTTATTAATTATTGAAATGTACAGAGATACTTTAATTAATAACTCAAAAACTTGTATTTGTAAAGTGATAAAGAACTTTTTTGTTCAGAATGACTTAATTTACAAGTTTATAACAGCTGTTATACCCAGCGATAGGCATCAATATAGAGGCTTTTTTATTAGTAACTAAAAAATTTGCATGTTATTTGCATGTTATTTGCATGCAATGGTAATAAGTATATATATAAATGACCGTAGTCAAGTATATAAAAGCTGTTATATTATATATTTCGCTAATATTTAGCGATAAGTTCAAGGTCCCAAGTTCAATATACTGATGTTTGTCGCTAGATACAGCTATCGTATACTTATAGGTCATTCATATTCATATATGTACTTGATTAGACCTTTGTGAATAAAAAACTCCTTTATCGTTTCACAAATAACATCTTAATTTTTGAGTTATTAATTAAATAAGCCTTCATACATGACCATTTTTAATAATTAATGGCTTGAAATTTTGCGTGTTGTTTGCATAATGTGTACAGAACTTTTTCGTTCACTTCAATCCGTTCTGCGCTCTCACGAAGTTTGTTCCTGTTGGTCTGGGATACCCTGTATATGAGAATACGAGTCTTGAATTGATACTAATTTTTTTCCGTGTACTGACTGAGAACCGTGACTGAGAAAACATCTCTCGTGGGCGTGAGTCAAAAATAAGACGGATCTTCCGTAGCTTCGAGAAAAATACTTGAAAACTGTTTTCTACAAGAGCACGAGAAACTTTATAGAACTTTGCTTTCTTGCGGACTTTTCTGTCTTATGCATCGCGACCTTTATTGAATAAGAGAAGGACAGAGATATATTTTAATATTGCGAAACATTTGGCACGCTCCATGAATGCATGTATGTGTATATGTAATTATATGTATGCATGTGTATGTGTGCCTGTCCGTTGCAGACATCGAAATGGCGAACCGACACGGACACACGTGTTTGATGATCGCGTGCTACCGGGGTCACATCAAAATCGCAAAGTTCCTACTTGCGCTGAAGGCGGACGCCAACCGTAAGTCCGTAAAGGGCAACACGGCGCTGCACGACTGCGCCGAGAGCGGATCCCTGGAGATACTGAAGGTGCTCGTGGAGCACGGCGCCCAGATGGATGTAGACTCGTACGGGATGACGCCACTCCTCGCGGCAGCAGTAACAGGTTAAAGCAGAAAGTTCCGCGCGCACCGCACGAAGGTTCCCCCTAAAGACAGTTCGCTCGCTCGTCCGAAAGCGATCATTGTTGCAACGCTTAGGCGACCGAGGGAACGACGAGCGCTGATCGAAACTTCTTCCGCGTCTTCCAGGTCACACGCATATCGTCGAGTACCTCATAGGCATGCCGCATCTGTTCAGCAGGAAAGAACGCATCGACGCGCTGGAATTGCTCGGGGCCACGTACGTGGACAAAAAGAGGGACATGATAGGCGCCCTGCAGTTCTGGAAACGAGCCATGAACGAGCGGTACGCGCGTCTCAGCTTCTCTTCTTCGTGTAGGGGAAAATTCAGTCCGACAGGGGTTATTGCAAATTGTTCGTTAAAATATTAATCGCCCATCCGCAAAACATACATACACTGAGAGAAAAGTGCACGGTACTTGCGATTACCTTCCTTGTAATAATAATTAAAATAGAAAAAACTATTTTTTTGTAACAAGCGTTCCTGTAGTATTAATGATTATTAATTTATATACATATTGCTACGCAGAAAAAGGCGTTAGATTCAAGTAAATAATTATTCCAATACTCCTTAGCATTTTTTTGTTTTGGAACAAAAAGTACGATTGGAGCCATAAAACTATGATTTTAATGAAATCAAAATTATATTTTTCTCTCCATGTAACGTTTTTATTTCTTTTATACTTCTCAACAAGAGAGCACACTTTAGATGGTATCAGATGTTTCTTAGAAAAATAGGCAGATTTATAGATATGAAATATTTATCAATCCGTAGCAATTCTCTCTTCCCAACGCACGAATATGTAGATTCGATCTTCGCCAGAGGAGGAAGAGTTTTTAACGTCCGGCCCGTCGCGATTTTCCATTTTCTCAGATACCGGGGAGACGGTCCGGTGATATCGAAACCTAAATTCTCGCCGCTCGTAGCCGCTTATGACTTCGCCCGGGAGATCTGCGAGCCCGAGGCGTTGGACGAGTTGCTCGCGGATCCGGACGAGATGCGAATGCAGGCGTTAGTGATCAGAGAGCGCATATTAGGACCGGCTCATCCCGACACCAGTTACTACATCCGATACAGAGGGGCGGTTTACGCGGATGCGGGTAAATTCCGTCGCTGCATCGAATTGTGGAACTACGCGCTCGACATGCAACAGAATATGCTCGAGCCGTTGAATCCCATGACGCAAAGCTCTCTATTCAGTTTCACGGAACTCTTCAGCTTCATGGTAGGCGAAGAAGGTAGACAGACGACCAGAGGTCGCAGAGTACCGCCGGTACAACGGGAAGAGCTCTTGAGAGTCTTCGAGAAAGCCGTGAGTGTGTGTTGCCAGAAGAAGCGGTCGTGTCTCTCTCGACCGATATATCCGTTCTGCCAGTCCGCAACCAATGTTTGTTTATTGTCACGCGGGCAAAACTGTTCGCAGGTTATGGAAGTGAAAAGAGGCAAGCAGATGTTGGACAAGATGCCGGTTTGCGAGCGCGACCTGACGTACTTGAACAGGGTCCTCGTCATTACCCTGCACTTGGCATGCTTATTGACGCGCGAGACAGCGGAGGAGGGTAGCGACGAGTACATCGCTTTGCACAAGCAGATCTACGAGTTAGTTCGAATAAAGGCCAAAGGCAAGCAGGTCAGTACTCGATGACGATTACCGCTACTTCATCACAGTCGCTTCTCAATGCTGAACGCTCTTCGGAAACGCGAGAGGACTGACGATTCGAGTCGTGAACGAGGCTGCGCTTCTTCGATGCTCTATACACGCACGCGTGTCTTTTTACATATATGTTTCTCTATTTGAAGTGGTAAAAATAAGTGTTGCAGAAGGAGAGAGAGCGTCCAATCTTACGCGACACACTAAGAAGGAAAAAATACTTAAGAATGTATTGCCCGTTAATGCCGTCTTTTCAGTAGCGCAAAAGGGGGCAGCTCAATAATTTAGTATTTATCAAGCAAAATTACGTTCCTATTTACTTCACTATCTAAATAATAAATTTGAAACGAAGTTGAGGTAGATATGTATGCATGATATTACAAATACGAAAATATTATCTTTTTTACATTTTTTTTTACTAATGCTATTTTTTATTCGTATATAGTTGATTTAATAGATACGCATAGATAATAGAAAGAGATATATATGTGTTCACATATGTGCATATGTATATGTATTTCGAATATTTATAAACTGTGAATTTTATAACGCTATATTTTCAAAACAAAGTGGTCAATAATTCCGAAATTTGTTTACAATGTCTGTATATTAGTCTCTGATACCACAGTAGGTTTTCATTTAAATTTTCATTTTAATCTAGAATGTATTAAAAATAGAAATTAAAGATAGCACGCTATTCTCATGGAACATGTATGAAAAGTGTCACCTTTAGTTACAAATATCTCAGTTCGCGAATGGTCAGTCTTTTTCTAATTGCATGAATTAATTAGTTTTATCGAATTCTTATCAAATTCATTTCACCTTGCAATCTACTTTTAAAGTCAAATTACTTTTGATCCCGACTCTGAATTACCGTCAAACTTTTGGTGTCACTTTTAAATGCAACGTGGATTAATTTGTAATTCATTTTTCATTACTTTTACTTACGGGCAATACACACCCGTTGCAATCATTCAAGTTAAAATTTTAACTTTAATTACAACATGTTAATTAAGTAATTAACTAATGTGCCAGTAATCGTTGATTGCAGCCAATAAAATTATAGTCATTTGCCGCTTCGGGCACATCTTCCTTTCATCTTGTTCTAAAATGAGATGTGACAGCAGCAACAGCAGCTGCGTCATTACCTCTAATACTGTAGCAGTTATAAAAAAGTGGTTCTCCTGACTATAATTGCTCCACTGTGCAATTATTGTCTCCCAAGTGCCAGGCACGTTCCTTTCTCAGTGTACGAAAAAAAATCACCGTCTACGTCTACGAAATCTTCACGTGTGTGTGTCGTTTCGCATTTGCGCAGGGTCGTGACGCGCTGCAGCTGATCCACAGCGAGGACGGCACCCTAGTCAGCAGGTATCCCACTTGCAAGTTCCCGTCTCCTCACTTGACCAAAGCGTTGCTGAGAGTGGGCGCAGACGTGACTGCTCGCGACAACGATGGCAACACGGCGCTGCACCTGGCGGCGTTGTCGCGCCCGTGGCGGCCGGACCTGGCGATCGCCCTGCTCGACGCCGGCGCGCACTTGGACGCGGTCAACAAGGACGGTAGAACCTTCCAGATGTTGCTGTGCGACAAGCGCAGGTACGACTCGATCTACCCCGTCAAGTACACCACGCTCGCCTGCTTGGCCGCGCGGGTGGTGAGGAAGACGCAGAGGAAAGAAAAAGTGCCCGCGCACCTCCGCGCCTTCGTCGAGACGCACTAGCAACATCGAGACGCGGCCCGGCTCTCGTATCGACGTAATGATACCGAAATGGTGACTGATCATGAGAAAAGAGTGGGGCGGCAGCAGCAGCATAGCAGCCACACGGAAAACAACAACGGTGATAATCATGGTTGACCTGAATCCTCCGATTCGCTCGTTCGTTCATCCGTTTGATCGCGTTCCAATCGAAACCCCCGGCTACTTCCCGATACGCTTCGGCACCGGAACACGCGACGGTCAATGAGTCTTTCTCTTGCGAAGTACAATTTTCATAACTACTTACTGTAAGAGCGAGTGCACGATACCGGAGAGAACTCTCCCTCTCGCTTTCTCCAAACGTCGGGCGTTTCGTCTTAGGATTGATGATTCCTCACTGTCCGTCTAGGCGACGGTAGAGAAACATCCGTCGATCCCCCGTCAATTTTTCTTACACGGCATTCTCATTGTCAAGTATAAACGGTCCAGCTGGCATCGGTGTTCGTTAACTTCTCTCGAGATGATTCAAAATGATCTGTTGTGAATGATGATTACGATATAATATATTATTATGAACATTATTTTACATTGTGCATTTATTATATGTATTTAAATATAGTTTGTTTAATCTTCGCATAGCCCCACACAAGTCAAGGTCCCGATTCATTATCAGATATAATCTGTCCCGATTTGTATCCTCTTTGGACCAGTTTTTTGTCCACATAATGATCCAAATCAGGCTCGGGTCTGATTTGATCAAAATTGGTACAAATTATGGATCAAGTTATATTTGATAATGAATCGAGCCAGATTGGATGCTATTGAGCTTTGATTTGCAGAATTCTAAATCCTTGTCGATCAAACGTCGAGAAGTACAACAAAATAACGCCCTGCATACATTAAAGCGAAATATCTCCAGATGTACTATATTTCGTATTATCCTCCCATAAGAGAAATAATTATTCGTGACTATCTCCATGTTTTAACGTAAGACTGACGGAAGCTTGTCCTCCACCGTGTAGACGAATAGTGAGAATCAATTTTTAAACGTGAGATCATCGTGAAGGGACATTTCGATTCTCAGTCGGCGCGTTGTTCTAGTTGACAAGATTTCTCTCAAGTGTTTTTTCTTAATTTATATCGATTAACTCGTAACGAGTTCTTGTTAATCGCGTACTAGTTAGTAAAAAGCCGGGGAGCGAGGTACTACGTCGTCGTCGTGTACAAACCCAACGTCGATTATCGTTCGTTAGCGTGAATTTTACGATCGAAAGTGCAGAATGATAGGCCCGATATTAATTGTACATTCGAAAACGGAAAGAAAATAAATTAAACCGCGTCAAAAATTTAAAATCCTACGAAGATCGCGCTCTTCCGTCACTGTCAAACGGTTGGTTCCTTTCAATGTCAAATGAGGCCGGTCAGTCGCGTTTTTCTCTAACGATCGTTTTTGCCCGTCATCGTTGCCGATTACGTTAATCGGGACAGTGAATTGGATTAACCGTCGACGATGCAGATCCTTGTTGAAGACCCTCTTTTTCTTTCTCTCTCTGGTATCGGTGCGCGACGATTACAAGAGAAGGACTTTGAGTCTCAGTGAAAGAAAAATACACTAAGAGGGGGGAGTGTTATTTCGGCATAAAAAGAAACGCGACAAAACGGCAAAACGGAGAACATTGTGATTCTATTATTACGAACTCGGCTACTTAAAGGCCTCTCCTGTATACATAAACCCCGCGCGCGCAAGCCATATTATATAAATATATACATACCACGTTGGATAAAACACACATATACACGCACATATACACAATCAACACACAGATACACATCCATACGTGCTTAGCGATAATAACATTAGATGGTTGCATATGAAACCGCCCGCTGGCAATATATGACGTTAGGTAAACTATTTATTCGAATTGAAAATTGGCAATAAACATAATGACAGGTCTATAGAGTCCCGCCAAAACATCATAGGTGACATCTGTGCGACGCGTTAACATCATCTATTTTTATTGTGTTTACAATGGCGAGTTTTGTTCCAAATAAGTCACATTTGCGGGAAGTTATGTTCCATTATTTCCTGGCAAAAAAACCGCCCGCGGTAACGCATCACTAGAGGAAGTGTATGCCGAACATGCTCCATCGAGTACAACGTGCAAAGGGTGGTTCCGCCGCTTCCAAAGTGGCCAAAGAGAAACATCCACGCCAGTAAGGTCATGCTGTGTATCTGGTGGGATCAGAGGGGTGTATTACGAGCTGCTGAAACCGTCGGAAATCATCACTGGGGATTGTTATCGACTGCAACTGATACGTTTGAAGCGAGCTCTGCACGAGAAGAGGCCGGAATGGGAGAATCGCCGTGACAAATTGATTTTGCAGCACGACAATGCCAGGCCGCATGTTGCTCAACCAATCAAGAAGTACTTAGAAGGAGTGAACTGGGAAATCTTATTCCACTCGCCATATTCCCCAGACATCGCTCCCTCCAATTACCATTTCCGGTCGATGCAGTCAGCGCTTACGGCACAGCACTTCACCTCGTACGAAGGAGTCAAAAACTGGCTGGATGACTGGATTGCCTCTAAAGAACCCGGTTCTTCCTGCGTGGAATCCGATTGTTGGCCGAAAGGTGGGCCAAGGTTGTCTGTTCCGATGGGCAATACTTTGGATAAACCAATTCGTCGATTTGCTACCAAACCACTCTTTTTTCTCGCTCAAAAATGGGCAGTTCCATATGCAACCACCTAATATTATATATATACATATATATTATACATATGAATGTATGTTAAATTACAACAGTGTGTAATCTTAGAGAAATGACTTTTTACCTTGCTGTATAAACGAATAAAAAAGGAACAGAGAGGAACGTAAATTTGTAATAAAAGAAACTTTCTGGCACCGATTATGTCGACGGAGTGAAACACGATATCGAAGCTCTCTACGTGCGCTTGCGTATGCGTCTTGTGTGTAGAAAAAAAGGGGGGGAGGGAGAATAGCGAAAGGTAAAGAGACAAAACGGGGAAGAGGAAGAGAAGTGTCGCGACACTAACGTGCGCGAAGTCGCGACAAACGCGGTCACGTCATTCTTCTTTTTTCACCTTGTACGTTTCGTGTGTCACGAATGCATCATCACGCGAGTTTACTATCGCTGTACTACATCGGGCAGGAGGAGGGGGTATTTCGCTGATCTGTGGCATCGATACACTTACCCACGTGTAATTTCCATCACGACGCGACATGGGCTCGGCTATGTGTGTGTGTGTGTGTGTGTATGCGTGTACGTTCGGAATTGACGATTTATTCGCCGAAGACAGTTTTTTTTTTACACCTTTGTGTGACCGTCTTTATTTCCAACGTGATAAAAAACCCATTATAAAATACAATATAGACTGATATCAATACATGATTACACACAAGTATGTACAATACATGAGGGAAAAGGGTGTGTAATATGACGTTGTCGGATCGAGTTGCCTCTTTTTCTCGTCCCTCTCAGAGAGAGCCGTTGATGATGCGCGATGCACACTTTCGCGCGCGATAAACACGACAAACGCCGTCTCGTTCACGCGGTTAAGGCTCAGGTTCATAACAAAGCGACGTGTGTCCTCCTCGTGTCCATGCGCGCTTTTGTACGTTTTGCATGTCGTTCGCCGAATCGATACGTAGTCCGTTACCGACGCATCTTTACACGCGTCACGATGAGCCGTTTTTACACCGTACTCATATGTTATGTGCGCGATATGTCATGTCTCAACTCTCTCTTTCTCTCTCTTCTTCTTTCTATTTTTCTGCCTGCGAAGATAGCGTCTTTACACTTAAACCCGCATATTGAAAACTATTTTATAATGTAAAGGCAGAACGAAGTCTCGGAAATACAGGTGTGATTGAAAAGCACAACTATGGGCTCGTTCTTTTTTACTTCGCGCGATACACTCACCGTCTCTCTCTCTGTCTCTCCCCCCCTTTTTCTCTCTTTCTTTCTAACTTTATATATCTCTCTCATATATCAAACTCGACGCGCCGCTTGCGCGATCGTTACCCTGCAAGAACAACATATTTGCGTAAGGTGACTGTCCGCCAACTGTCGAAACTTACCTCGCAGCAGTCGGCGACGTGTGTTTCCCGATCGCGTGACCTGGAAATAATTCATATATCCACCATGTGACTCTCTTCGTATGCGTCCCAGTGTAATAAAAATGAAAAATACTTAATTCTCTATAAAATACGACGCAATATAAAGCCGCGTGTATCGCGTTATCGTCTTCTTATCGGTCTATTTCACGAAAGGACAAAAAAACTGCGGATACCTTCTCGTCCCCGCGTAAAAATGCGAGATAGATTATCGAGCGTTATTACTGCGATTCGCACGGGTATACGTCACAACAGCGAAGAGTGCACACCTCTCCTCCGGCCCGCTGGAATCGACGAGCCGTTAAACTACGAAAACTATACAAACACCGAGTCTCGACCAGAGCATCCGTGCGTTGGAATCCTGACTATCGTCGAATTGAACAAAAAAATGGTTGGGAGAGCATGAGCCACATCCTTTGACACGTGGGAGTTTTCTCTCTCTTCTTTTTTTCTTTTTCTTTTACAGTGTTCATACATGTGAAGCCAGAGATATCGACTCGGGGAAAAACGGCGGGAGAAACACCGCAGTCGCATAGAGCGTGGAAAAATTCGAGAATCGGAGCGGAAAAGTTCACGAGCACACTTACCATAGGACGCGCCTCGCCCCGGAAAAAAAGAGAGCCGCCAAGTCTCCCCCGCATGCGATACAGACCGACAAAGAGGAGGAGGAGGTCGTACGGAGAGAGCCGTAAGCCGGCCACGAGGAAGCGGACACGCGAGGTCGTCGCGACGCGCGTGGAAGATCTCGCCGTCGTTACTCTAACGGTTCTCTATGCACGCGCACACACACAGACACAGGATCGACGAGCACGAGGCACCACGTTAAAGACCACGAGAACCAGAACCCGACGTGTTGATGTCGTGTCACCCCTTCTCTGCAACCCGTTACACCAAAAAAAAAAGGGAAAAAAATACTGCAAGAGATCCGCCGATCGCTCTCCGCCATCCGCAGTAAAGACTCGTAAAGTCTCGGTGAAAAACCGCCGGCGAGGCGAGGAAACACACTATGATACCTTGACGATCATGCACACAAAAACCATACAGAGTCGGAGTATCGCTTCGATCCTCGCTAATTGATGAAAGGATAATTGCGCTGCTAATCGCGGAGAGGCCGGAGATATATCGTCTTCTCTCTTTCTCTCCCTCTCCCTTCGGAAAGTCTTCGGCACAAAGGAACAAATCGGAGAGAAGAAAGTCATCTGAAAAGATATCTCACCTGCGATGTGTGAACTCATTCTCTCTCTCTCTCTTTCTTTTTTTTTTCCACTGCACTGATTACTCCAGAGATTACTCTACCGACGCCCCCCGGTGTGTACGGAAGACACGATCGAGGCGGATCTGTACTTAAAGACGCGCCGACGAAAGTAAACGAACACGCGTGATTCTCGCGTGTAAACGCGACGCATTTACGGGAGACATCACACCCGTCCACGTCACAAGTTGAGTTACGTAAATGCGTATCGCGTTTGAACGTCCAAAAAACGCATACGGGCCCCCCCCCCCCGTCCCATCGAACCTACGCAGTGAGAAAGACCGCTAGCGGAGAGAGAAAAAAAAAGTAATAAAACTTCACAACAGCACAGAAATAAAACACAACGACCATGTTTCGTTTTTTTCTTTTTTTTTTTCTTGAATGGTCACAAAACGAGTCTGAATTTTATTCAATCATCGTGTCATGAGATTGTGGTTATACAAGAGTGTGTTGTACAATGCGCAGAATCTTCCTCGAAAGTCGTCTACATGGCGAGAGGGGAGCTGCTATGTTTACCAAAAAATAACATCCAGGAAACACCGAGCTGATTGCGACAATAACGTCCGTTGCGTCCACCAGAAGCGATGGTCAACATTGCGATGCGAACATCTCATCTCTCTGTGCCCACAAAGGGACGTGGCCCACGGGGACGATGTTTAAAAAAAAAAAAAAAATGAAAAAAGTAATTAAAAGCACAAAGTCTACTACGTTCGACGCAAGGAGAACACGACTTTACTTTTTGGTAAACATATCAAAACGGCGCAGAGAACGCAAAGACAGTTTAACTGAATCTCCTCTACATTCAGAGATATAAACTTGATCCGACGTTGGCTCGCCCGAGAGTCACGAAACACACCGAATCGAAAGAGGATCGACCTGAGGCGGCGGCGACTTTGTAACAAATATGCCGCGCGCATCGTCGCGTCTAATAAGAACAGTTCGATTCTCTTACAACAGCAATGCGACAGAGAGAGACGGTGCGAAGTGTGACAGCAAATAATCAAAGAACAAAAATAAAAACAATAATAATCGTAATAGGTCCTATCGCGACGAAGTAGTGTGTAGTTGGTGCCCTGTCGTCAAAAAAAGCGCCAGTGCCTCTCGTTACTCTGGAAATTGCGAGCGATGCGAGACGAGAATTCGACGAGAACAGCTAGTATGCTAGCTCTTATGCACGATCTGCATCAATGAGATTTGTAAGGAACGCGCCTACCGGTGATCTCGATAAGAGCCAAAAAAACACACACACACACACATGAGCGTTAATCAGCACAAATTCGAACGGACAATGATTTTCTCTGTTTCTTCTTTTCTTCTTCACGACGTAGTAAAAGTGCGTTTCCGTGATAGAAAGATTACATCTCTATTCCTGCTCGGCGGAACGACCAGAGCGTCACCTTTTAGAAGCGAACGATGGACAGCCGATCGATCTCTCGTCATGACAACTAAGATGTAAACTTACAGATTACATTTGCTAATTACCGTAAATAGCCTGTAAAATAGTAAAGTAACCTACACACTGAAAAAAGGGACCTACTAGCTTACATAATAACGATCGTCGTGAACCTATGTACCTAAGCAACTAAACTATATTTCGACGTCACTAGAAAAAAAAAGGACCAATTTAAGAGGCGAACAATTAGTAAAGACTTCTTCCACTGTAAAAAGGAGCCATAAGCCGGCGTTGGTGTAAACAATATTCAATTGAACAGTCGCAACAAGACAGAGAGATAAAAAGACCGCGGGAGTTTTGAGGATGGAAAGTAGTTTTGATGGTGTTGGTAGTGAGCGGTGGGTGGTGGGCGGGTAGGTAGGTGCGGAGAGAGGGTGATCGTCAGTAGTCGACACGACCGTTTCGACGTTGAGTAGTCATGATCGAACAAGACTTGCTGATCTTCCGAAGATTAGATACTTCTCCCCCTCTCTCTTTCTCTCTCTCCCTCACTTATTGTTCTCTAAAGCTCTGCCACATCATAACTAGGATGAATTTCAAGTATTGTCATCGGGAGCGGAACAATCCTGCAGACGACACACAAACACCCCAGAGCTTCCTCACGCTGCGTCAATAAGTTTATGATTAAGCATGAAATTCCGCAGATACGATCTTGTCTATTAACGTTACCTTGTATCGTCCAATGATCCACGGCTCCTTTTAGTACAAGCGCACATCAATTGTTCGGCCGTCAATGCGTGTTCGGTTCATCATAGCTAATCGCGATCGTTAAGGAAATTATTCCCCCAGAATTTATTATATATATAGAAACATATTTCTCCTTCTCTGCGTGCTCTTCACGCACAATTAATTAAGAGAACCTCTCCATTTTCCCCCGTTTTTTGCACTTTAAGACTCCCGACTACTTACTATGACGGTACTTGTTTAGTGACGTCAGAAGCGAGAGGGTTGCCACAGAAAATAAATTTTGAAATTCCCTGACTCTTCCATGTTTTCCAGAAAACAGTGGAGAATTTTCCACGAGTAATACGTAATCTTAAACTTTAATGTTTAGAAGCACGGATTGCAGAAAGGGTAGCTTATATTATTAGAAGCAAACATTTAAAAGTTTAATAACATAATATAATCCTGAGTGCAAATTCAGATCAGCAGAAAATGAGTATTGGAAAAAAGAATACAATTGAGAACGTTGAAGTAGAATTGAATTATGAGCAATGTTGAAAATTCCAGATTTTTTATATCTTTCCCCGACTTTTCCAGGTGGCACCTGAGAAACTCCTGGGCGAAAAAACGCATGTCAAGAATTTTTGCATTTTACGTTCCGATAAAAAAATATATCCACAAAATGACATTTGATCGATTCGGCACACTTGTAAAACTGTCCGAATTACACTTTTCTTCTACTCGAACAATTGATAAAATCGCAAAATTAACTTGACACGGAACCTTTCTTTTTAAACTTTCTTCTTATGATTTTGTCAAGATTAATTTTATTATTTATTAATTGTTCAAATAAAAAAAGTGTTCGGACAATTTCACAAGTGTGCTGATTCGATCGCAAATGGCATTTTATACCTTTTTATTTGAATATATAACTCAAGAATTCTTGGCACGCATTTTCTCGCTTCTGACGTCATCAAACAAGGACAGTCGCAGCGACTATTCAGGAACCTTAATGCATATGCGATTATTAATCGGAAATATGTGAAAATGAAAAGCCGATCTAACTCAGCACAGAGAAATATCCTTCCAAACTGTGTGCGAAACATACCGTGAGTCGTGTCTCCTCGTAACACCCGCATCGTTTAAGAAAGGATACTCACAGCACGGTCGGCGTCCCATTCAGACGCGAACCGAACCATACCCATGTCAGTACCCCTCATCTCCGCGAACTTGACTTCCCCCGCGTCCTGGAACTTGTCACGCAGCATCTGCCATGTGGTGTTTGGTGGTAACTGCAGCCGGATAAAACCAGAAGAAACAATTAACACGTAATGCTGCACAAATAACATTTCGAGAATGAAAGGGCGAAACGCGTACGTTGCATATGAGAATGGTGTCCGACATCGAGCGCGATCCATTGGAGTTCTGTCGATTGCCGCCTCCTGATTGGCCCTGGTTGCCGGAGAAGCCGCCGCCGCCACCAGCGGACACACGATCGCCGTCCCTGTTGAATCCGCCGTCGAAGTCCCTGCCACCTCCGAAGTTGGAGCCGCCGAAGGCGTTGTTACCGCCGAACCCGATATCGTTGTCCAGTTTGGATAAACCGCGCGGCGCGAACGAGTTGTTGCCTTGCCCGCCGGCCAAAGACGCCTGGAGTCCGCTTAAGCCGCCTACTCCGCCGCCAAAGCTATTCAGATTCGAGGCCAGTTCGTTGGTCAAGGAGGAGTTGAGCAACGAACTGGTGGTGAGATTAGCGCCCAGACCGCTGGCGAGGCTGGCTTGCAAGGCTGCTGCATTAGTGTTGGACAGTGCGGACGCTGCAAACAAACGCGACTCCCGTTTATTTGAGCGGGGTTTGGAGCCCCCTGCTGGAGCGCTCGGCCAGCACAACTTACCCAGCTGCGCTGGCACGACATTATTCAAGCTGGCCCCGAAGGCCCCAGCCGCCAGGACCGGCGCGGAGATCGGATTCACCACCGGTGGATTGTTCGCTTGTACATTGGGAATGTTTCGAGCCACATCTAATAGTCGATTGCCACCAGCTCCCAGACCCATACCGATACCTTTCAAGCCTGCCGGGAAAGAGACCGCGTCCACTCGTGAGAACAGAGCTACGTGTGAGCCACGTGTGAGTAAAAGTGGTACGGGCCAGTATTACCTTCCGGCAATTTGGGCGGCATGTCCGGCTCATTGGCTCTGTCGAGCCTGACGGTCATACGTCTGTCGAACAGCTGCTGATTGTGCAACATCGATATCGCCTGGACCGATTCCACCGGGTGGTCGTATTCTACGACCCCGAAGCCCCTCGACTTACCGTCCTTGTCTTTGCCCAGCTCAACGTGCAGCACCTTGCCAGCCAGCTTGAAGACCTCGAGCAGTTTCTTCTCGTCAACCTTGTAGTCCAGCTGCGCAAACGAAGCGAACGTTCGTCATCTTAATTGTCACGATTAAGCGTCTCTTGTAGCGCACTTTGAGCGGATATACTAACGTTAGCGATAAAGACCCGCGTGACTAACGGGCCATTGATACCCAACGACTCCAAGAACTGTGTGCTAAGACCGTATGTATTCCCGAATTTATTATCGCCACCGCCACCGCCACCTCCGCCGCCACCGCCACCACCGACGCCGCCAACGCCGCCGACACCACCACCACCGCCGCCACCGCCGCCGCCGCCGCCGCCACTAGGCGCGGACATGTTTTGTCGTCCGCCTCCTTGTTGTCTGGGAGGGTCCCTGAATCTGTCGTCCCGCGTTCTGTCGTTGTTACGACCCGTCGACAAGCGCCCGTATTTATCGCGTTCAACGTCGAAGTCCTGTGAAATAATTGACAATGCGTTGAAGACTCTGTGCGCTTGCATAAACTTACAGATAAATTAAAATAAATTAAAAAATACCATACAATACCGTAATCCTTCACTAAGTATTCAGTGAGCTTTTGGATCTGGTTAATTTGTGCTTTTAGATCTCGTTTAGATCCGAGGTCAAAATCCAAAAGCTCATTGAATTCAGTAAATGATACAATATTTTGGAGATGCACTCTAATGGGTTTAGTTTGGATCACTAGTGATGGGACTGAGACCGGTTTTACTATCGATTTATGTCTGAAATTTATAATTTTGTATCAGTTCGTTTTAAGATACATTCATGAACAATTTGATATGTATTGAAACATGCGACTCTGTCGTATCGATATATATCAATTATATATTAAGTTGAATATATCTGTTTGATTATAACCGACAAATTTATATCAAAAATAAAACACAAAAATAATTATAGTCACAGTTAATAATAATAAAAAACGATTAATGAAGGTAAAATCACATTTATCGTGAACCACGATTTTTCCAGCACTTTTATATTAATTCTTGTTATATTTTCATCAAAGCTAGATCAGCTTATGATTAACATCGAGATTGTATTGCAAAGTATATAACAGCGGACTGTTTGTCTTGTTGACGTCATAATTGTATTGAGTCAATACTATACGAAATGTCAACAAAGGAAGAAGGTCCACAAGGTTGTTTTTGTGTCTCCTTTCGATTTTCACTAAATTTTTGTATTATATGATCGTTAGAAATGCCAACAATACTCATTAAATCGGAAGAAAATTGACATATTGATGCTAACGAATACATCATTCGATCGGTCTCAATACCATGGATTACTGAAAGATCCCAGTTAGATCTCTGCACTCACTTCCTTGACGACGAGCTTTCTTCCCTTGATATCATATCGATGCATCTTCTCGACTGCTATCTTCACAGAGTCTGAGTCCTCGAACTCGACTATCCCACACCCCCTGGGCTTGTCATTCTCATCAGTGAAAAGCTCCACGTGTGCTACCTTGCCAACCTCCGTTCTGAACAGATCCTTGAGATCCTGCCAGCGGAAGTCGTATGGAATGTTTGACACATAGATCCGCCTCTCGGATGCTTTCCTGCCGCGTTCATTTCTGTCCCGGCTGCGGTCGCGAGTAGCCGAGTTCAGGCGATTCGGTCTGTCTGATCTTCGGTTGCGGTCACGTTCCCTGCTTCTGTCCCTGTCATCGTTATTCTGCGGTTGATTGCTGTAATCACACAGCACACACACGAGGACGTTTCTATCATTGCAACATGAATAATAAACCATCGATGGGAAGGAGGGCGCATGTAAATCGGAGAGAGAGAAAATGTAAATATCAGAGGAAAAAATGAAATGTTGAAAAAGGGTTAAGGTGGGATTTCATGATTAATTGCAACTAGAGATCGTGATTACGATCGTCGCGATAAGGTTTAAGCCAAGATATAAAGAAAGATACATTTTCTCGTTGTAACAATCGCCGGAAAACCGAGGCACAATCGCGAATAAATTACACCTCGACCCATTACATACGCGTGGCAGCACTCCGATTAAGTTACATTGCACTATCCGCACGGGTTACTTGACGCAGAAATCTCGCCGGCGCACAAATAATCACACAAACGAGAAGCCTCGTACTTACTCTTCCGCCTTTAACATAATCGGGAACCGGCTGTCACTAAACTTTGAGACGATTTTACGAACTAGTCTTTAAGTGTATGCAGACATCGAGCGTCCTATAAAATGGCCGTCACAGGAAGTCGCGGTGATTCGTACCGGATATCACTACGCTTGACAATAGATCTATCATGAAATTCGCGCTCCTGAAGGATCACGAATCCGTCGAGCTCGATGCGCCCCTTTGAGAGTAATTTCCTTATTGTTTTTGACCTTATGATGTAAAAATGACTGTGGAGAAATTAAAAACTGCGGCCGAAAGTTTCTTCAAGCCGCCGTTCAGTCATATCAATGAGGAACAAGAGATACGTCTGCTCCGTCATCGAATCGTGGCACTCAAAATCAAGGCTGAGTCTCGACGGAACAAAAAGTAAAGATTACGTGAAATGACGTAAAAATGATGGAAAAACGATGGAAACATCGTGTTTTATAGTAATTTTCTCATCATCTTGACGTCAATGTTATTTTCTGCTCTATCTGGAAATCACTTTCGCATCTAACGGAGTTGAATTTGAGGCCTTCTTAAATTCAATTTCGGATCGTAGATTTCGTAGTCAATGAAATGAGCCATACAATATCTGAAGATGAAATTAAGGAGACCTTAAATATAAGATCCGAGCTGTGAATATCGGCACAAATTACCCCGAAATAACTCAGAGTTACAAATATTTTAATAAATTCATTCTTTTTGTAATTTTCATACACTGCGTTTTGAAATACGTACTATCGCACGAAGGAGAAAAAAGGAAATTGAAGGTCCTCCGATCTGCCGTTGAGACTCGTTTGAGAATACAGAGTCGGTCTGACTTATTGTTGAGTCGTATCGCTCAAGATAACAAGTTTGTCTGACTTACCGTCGAGTCGTCGAAACTACGTTTTCGTTTTCTTTTTAGAAATATAAGAAAAATATAGCTTTTAGGAACTAAGTCTATCCAATGCATTTGTACTAAAACTACTATGTTTACGATTTGGATAGGAATAGTGGCGACTTGTAGCGGAGATTTCGGAATTAATCCACATCACGTGAATAATCTTCAATCAATTAATACGCCGGGTTCTTCGTGTCACCTAGAGATGACGCCGAGCAGTCCGTTGCCAGCTTGAAATTTTCCCATGAACACCGTTAGATGGCGCCAGGTAGCCCATCAATCTGCCGGTCGGTATTATAACGAAGTTCCTTCATAGCTTATCTCGATCTGTTATTATTGAAAGATTCGCATCCATCTGATTAGAAGTCTAATTACAGCGCGGAAACGTGAAAATCCGATCGCATCGTCCGCTAGCTTCCTCTTCCGGCACGTCGCTGTAGCAGAAGACACCGCTCGATCTGGACCAATCACGAGGCGCGATTGGCCGCTCTCCCTCGATCGTCCTCGGCTGCGTGCATGCGTGCGTGCGTGCTCGCTCGCTCGCTCGCTCGTTTGTTCGCGCGCTCCTCCTGACGTGTCGTCGCTGCAACCGCGCGAACCCCTGTCCGAGCTTTCAGAGCGAATCGCGAGCGAGCGGGCATCGCAATTTTTTCGCACGGCACATCAATCACCACGACGATGGCAGCAGCCCACTGGATCCGCACAGCAGTAAGTAGGGACGTCGCAAAATCCCGTCGAGGAAATCAGCCGCCCTGTGTAATACCTTGCCCGCCTACGTCCTCCCAGATAACCCAGCAAGGTTAGAATCGTGTTCGTCTCGCTTTTGCGTTCACGCTTCTTTCATTTTATCTATCTTTCTCTCTCGCTCCCTCTCCCTTCTCTCATCTCTCTGCCACATCCATCTTTGCCTGAGCTCCTCGCGATATAGCTGAACGTTCTAATTCCGTACGACTCTACGAGAGCGGCCAAAAACTCGCCAACCGGTGCAATCTCGACGAGAACGCGCGCTATTACGCAAAATTGGTCGCCACTGTTCGAGGAGATGAACCTACGCGTCCGTATCTCCGCCGGATTCAACCGAATCCGAGGAGACAACGCTTTCAATCGCACGTGGTGTGTTAACAGATCTCCCCGAAACTCACCGGTGTGCGACTTTATAGCAATAAGGCACACAAATGCACCCTCATCCCCGGCGACGGCATCGGACCCGAGATCTCCGCTGCCGTGCAGAAGATCTTCGATGCCGCCAAGGTAAATTTCACTCTGTTATCACCTGGTGTTTGATTCACAGAGTAATCGCAACCTGTATCTACAAGGTGACCTGCTTCATCCTGCAGAGCTAACCTTAAAATGTTTATTTTAATCTTACCCTCTATATACAGGTTGATCCAATTATAGGCTGATTCACTATATCTCTCAGTCTGTAATTTCTGCTGGATTTTTCTAAATCGCAGGTTTTTCACAGTCCGGTATAATAGTCTGTTTATGCTAATGTCTCGTTGAATATTTGAAATGATCATATGTGTCTTGATGTTGTTTTTACTGTGACCCACAAATTGAGATGGAAGTCTTTCGTAATGAGATATGAGAATCTTTACAGTGCTGATTAACTTAGCAATGTTTTGATTGCGTAATAGGATTTCTTAACCCATGCCTTTTGATATACACTATCAACCGTATCTGTTATTGTTATTTCTGACGCACAAATATGTTTTGAATACGTAAATATATTAGACACGAATATTCTTGATCAGGCAGTTTTCCCAGCTTATATTTCGAATTAGGCCTCTCTACATTTATCTGAAATAACAGGTGCCGATAGAATGGGAGTCCGTTGATGTGACGCCAGTAAAGGGTCCGGATGGCAAGTTCGGTATACCACAGGCGGCTATCGACTCCGTCAATAGGAATAAAATCGGCCTGAAAGGCCCTCTGATGACTCCCATAGGAAAAGGACACAGATCCCTGAATCTTGCGCTCAGGAAGTAAGCTCGCCATTGTCCTCCGTTGCAACGCTCCATCGGGCGTAATTTAAATTAGCTCCCGCATACACGACAGTGTTGTCTGGAAATTGGCTCGTCGCAGTCGTCTTAAGTGACGAATGATTACGTAATCGCGAGTGTCTTGATAAACGCGAGCAATTGCTCGGAAACACGATCGGTGTGCGCGTTTCGCGCGAACTGCGATACGCGCCTATCTCGGCCGATTCGCTCGCACGCATGTTTTTATTACCGTTCTTGTTATTATCGCGAGTTTTATTGCTGACGAAATCATTCCTTTTCCCGCAGGGAGTTCAATTTGTACGCCAACGTGCGGCCCTGTCGGTCGTTAGAGGGATACAAGACGTTGTACGACAACGTGGACGTCGTCACTATCCGAGAGAACACGGAGGGCGAGTACTCGGGTATAGAGCACGAGATTGTGGAAGGCGTAGTACAGTCTATTAAATTAATCACGGAAGAGGCTTCCCGTAGAGTAGCGGAATTTGCTTTTCAGTATGCCAGAGACAATAATAGGAAAAAGGTACGTGCGACTGAAGAACGGGATAAGCGTGGAATCGGAGGATCGTACGTGGCTTTAAGTCAATGCTTAAAATCCGCGCTGACAAGGAAACGCGCATGATTAGAGAAACGATTAAAATCTTTGGATAAAATTGCAACGAGCCGGAAGTACATTAGAATTACATCAGTTGTCCCACCTTCGGATAAATTTATCTAACAGGTAAATATCTGAAGAACGTATGGAAATAAATTACAAAGGTATCAAAGAATTACTGGTATATTATTGTTCTTCAACAGTACATCAGTAATTTTTTCATATTCTTGTAGTTTATTTCCGTACGTTCTTCAGATATTTACCTGTTAGATAAATTTATCCGAAGTTGGAACGACCGGCTCTCATAGAAGCGGTAATAATGGAAATTGAAGAACGACAGGCGACAAACTGCGAAAGTCAGATGGTAGAAACACAAAAGGCTTGAGCCGCAGTTTTTATATTGTAAACAGAGCTCTCGATGAGTTATCGAAGTTATTATTAGGCTTATCGTTCTGTCTTGTCGTCTTGTCTTAAAGAGGGTCTACAAAGAAAAGCGTGTTTACGATCCAGATGGGTATTATACATTCAAATGGATTGCCAGGCGAGTTCTGCCTATTGGCTACCCGCTGAGCGCCCGCGCTCCTGATTCCGACGTTTTAGATCCGCCAGATTCAAGCAACGTGTAAATGTAGCGACGTCACATCGTGTATTCTCTCTCTCTCTCTCTCTCTCTCTCTCTCTCTCTCTCTCTGAATGCCGAGTCGACCTAGATTCGTTTCACAGGTAACCGCTGTACATAAAGCAAATATCATGAGAATGTCGGACGGCCTGTTTCTGAGATGTTGCCGGGAAGCCGCACAGAAGTTCCCCATGGTTAAATTCGAGGAGAAATATTTGGACACGGTTTGCCTAAATATGGTGCAGGACCCCAGCCAGTATGACGTGCTCGTAATGCCTAACCTGTACGGTGATATTCTTTCGGACCTGTGCGCCGGACTGGTTGGAGGACTCGGTCTTACACCTAGTGGAAACATTGGATTAAACGGAGCACTCTTCGAGTCGGTACGCATCCGTTAATGCGAGCTAATCTTGATTAAGATGAAGATGGGATAAGAATTGGTTTCTCCCTGATTCCGACTAATTAAAATTAATTCAACACTAACAGTGAGATTAGGGTCGGATCCGACCCTATCCTCTGTTTTGCTCATTTTTTACATTAATGTACAAAATGGATGAACGAAGTTAAATAATAGCATGAAACTTCTTCCTCTGTTTATTTATAGATGAAAAAAAAAAAAGACAACAAGTTTACTGACTTGAAATAATTGCAGTGAAGCTCTTTGACGTTCTGAAAAATTCACTTTGTCATTAGAGGGTTAACTTACAAATAAAATTTTATTTGTATTTCAATTTATTTTTATTCACTTTTATTTTGTTGTAAATAAGATTAAGTGAAGATAAGATTGCTGTAAATAAGATTTTTGTTGTTTGTAAATAAGATTAGCCTAATCTTTTAGTTTCAACTGAATTAACGTTTGCATTAATATTCCGACAGTCTCACTTGTTCACGCGGCTAACTCGTGCAACTCGATTTGTTACAGGTACATGGTACGGCTCCAGATATCGCCGGGCAGGATAAGGCAAATCCGACGGCGTTATTGCTATCGGCGGTGATGATGCTCAAACATATGGGCCTGACCAATGAAGCGAAGATCATCGAAAATGCCGCCTATGACACCATCAAGGAAGCGAAGCATTTGACTGGCGATTTAGGTGGTACCGCGAAGTGCAGCGAGTACACCGACGAGATCTGCAAGAAGGTCGCTGCACAGACGAAATAGATAGGCGTGCCGTTGATCTGAGACTTGAACTGCCAAATACTCGTAGAACGTCGCGCCCGTGATGGAGGGGCCGCTCTATTTTCTACCATCATTGTACTGTGCACAATCGCATTAATGTGCGTTTCTGCCTGCAGTCGGGCTCGCGATAGGTCACGTACTTGAGTATTCCGACATACCGTTTGTCCACGTGTACACACATGTAGAGATCAATGCAACGATTCTTCTCCCTTGAATATGTATGTATGTCCGCAGTTCGGTCTACGGACGCTCGTTGCAGGCGATTTAAAATCGTAGAAAGATTCGGGACTGGATTTTCACGTGTCCGTAAAATTTTTCGGAGAACCGGAATTACAGGTATAGATGTATTTTCGCAGTCCTTCGAAAATGATCACGCATCGTAAGCAGATTCAGATATAATTCTTGGTTTTAGTGATGAGAGATCTGTTATGTTTTCGCGAAAAAAAATAAACATATACGTATGTATATGAGTTTATATACATGTATATGTAATTTATTTCGCACGTTTCGATACGTAAAATCGCAGGACGGAATTCCGCTACGAGAATTGTCGATCCTCGGTAGAACGAACGTCGTGGACGCGAGCGATTTTTAAACTATTTCAAAGTGACTTCTGTCAGATATGCCAGACGGCGTTTAGTTTTATCAAGTCAAGTGCACGTGCGCCGCCGTTCGTCGAGGTTTACATCGACTGAGCATGTTTTTGTGTATACGTCTATTGTAATATGTTTTACCCGTCGAAGAAATGGTCCTAGTAGAAGTCGCGAGGATTAGCCGTGTAAATTGCGCAATATAGATATGCTGTATCATAATTTTAAATAAAATTGTTACACACGGGGCGTGTCCTCTTCGAAGAGAAGATAGTTTGAGATATCGAAGTCGCGCAGTATTACAGACGAATAAAAAGTTTACGAAAACCAGCCGCATCAGCAGACGTTACTCCGCATCGCGGACCAGCTCGATCCTCCCGCAATGCATCCGTGATCCACGTGACACACGGTAAAAAATTTTATGTTGAAGGATCCACTGAAATTTTGTGTTACCTTAACACGGGGAATGCGTTACGAAGTATGTGAATATAATGTTAAATTAACATATTCACATACATTTTATCAACATATATTGGATGTATTGATTTAACATTATATTTATATTACAAAATTTCAGTAGACCGTTTTTAAGGCTTCGGGTTAGTCACTGTGGTTCAACAAATTTGTAAAATTGGACGGACACATTTACTCGAACAATCAATAATCAATGAAGTAACCGTAAAATTAACACTGACAAAATCATGAGAAAAGAGGTCGGAAAGGGAGGTTCCGTATCAAATTAACTTTGCGACTATTTATTGATTGTCTGAGTAAAAGAAAGTGTTTGGACAATTTCACAAATGTGCTGAATCGATCACAAATGGCATTTTATGGATACGTCCTTTTAGTTTTACTTGAAAGTATGATGCAAAAAATTTTGGCATGTATTTTCTCGCTTCTGACGTCACTAAGCAAGGACGTAGACTAGCGACTGTTCCGGAGCCTTGACACCAATTTTTTTTACTGTTAAATTTCTTATTGTTAAAATTTCACCCTATTTTATATTTTATTTTTTTACTGTGCAAGGACACCCGTTTTCCTCTTTTTGTAACCACCCGTGAACTTTATCAAACTTTACGATATTGTTTAATTGATTTATCTTAAGGCTTTCTAGTGATGAAAATCTAAAGAAATGAAAAAGAAAGAATCCACAAGTGGGTCGAAAATTGACTCAGCCGCGGTTCTACTGTTAAGTCTTGCAGTTTGCGTTTTTGTGTGTGTCATGGCCCTAATAATCCCCGTATGGAGAGGGGGGACAATCACGAAGAAAGGTGATAATGTCCGCTGGAAAGTCCTCTTGATCGCTCTTGATACCGACGGTGGCGTGTCGTTCCCCCTCGCGATGTTACGTTATATAGCACTTATCCCGCCACCACTTCATAACTTCCTCCTCCGCTTTCTCCCCTCCCCTCTCCCTCTCTCTCACTCTCTTCTCCTTCGCGGTACGACGCGGTGTACAGCACGGTGCGGTACGCGGTATCGCGGTGCGGGAAAACTCTCAAGTATGAGAAAAGTTGCCGGCCATATTTCACCGGCCGGGCCGGGAACCGGCGAAGGAAAAGGACGAGACCGAGGAGGGGACCCAGTGTCATCTTCGCCGCTCGTTAATTCCCTCTGTGATTTATCGCGATCCGCCGGCGTGAGTAATGACTAACTCCTCTGGAAAATTCGGATATTAGATTTTTCTCCGGTCACGAAGAGAGGTATTACACACACGCGACGTCGCGCTGTGCCGCCGTCGCGTCCGTATCAAGGGTATCCGCCGGGGGAGGAAAAAAGAACGAGAGATATACGAGCAGCCGACGTTGGCCGCGTAATCCGAAGTATTTCACCTGTCGCGATAAATCGGGCGATACGTCATACGGCGCATTTGTTGTATCGGCCATGACGCGCTATGACGGAGTATCTTGCACACTCGCGTCTCCGCATCTAAAAACGAACGACGACGCGGCTTTCGTTAGCCCGTTAAAGGCTTGTGATGGTTTCACGAGTGATTTTAATTCAAGGTTCAGTCTGTTCCTTTCCTAGTTCCAGACCAGTGCTGGAATTATTTTCATTGAAAGCACAGATATAACGGAATTAGATGAAAACATACACGGAGAAAAAAATTGGTCGAGTTGACGTGACAAGTGAATGAACCAAATGCGTTTTCGTGGAAGAAAATAGAGTTTTTGGCTCTAAGAAACGAATCTGATTCGTTAGAATGAGAAATTCTGTCTTTTTCGACCAGAACGTATTCGATCCGTTCATTGTCATATTAATTCAACCAATCTTTCCTCCTTCACGTGCACGGAGGAAAAGATTTCTTCGCACGGAAAAAGATTAGTCTTAAATTAATGATAGATATTTTCATATTTAAACAAGGATATTATAATTTTCTTAGAGGAATTTTAGTCTTGATTTAATCGAATTTGCATTGGCGCGAGTATTATTTGCACTCAAAAGACAAAAAATCTCTTAAAAATATTATAATATTCTTATTTATATATGAGGACATCTATCATTGATTTAAGACTATTTTTCTGTGTGTTAATTTAGTATACATGTTTGTTTGACTTGGGTCTGTTTAATATAAATAACATAATTTAATATCAAATATCATTCTGTTTGAATGAAAACGTTGTTTCAATAGAGTAAACCATGTTTGGTAGAACAAACAGTATTATTTAAAAGAAATAATATTCGGTAAATAATTTTCAGTAAATAATATTCGGTAAATAATTTTCAGTAAAAGAAAAATTTATTTCACTGTATTAAATATTGTCTCACTGAAACAAAAAAAGTAATTCTTTAACATTTCTCTAACATAGTGTTATTTCTTTCAAATAATTTATTACTTGTGACAACCACATTGTAATGTTCGAATGGAAATATAAAGGAAATGTTATTTGACATAAAGATATTATAATAAATATTTATTGTTTGAGAAGGCAAACAATACTGTTTGTTGAATCAAACATTCGTTTGTTTGCTCTACTCCAAAAGACACATTTGTTTCAATTAATAAAATTTTATTATATTATATCCGAAGAATTAATAAAATTTTATTATATTATATCCGAAGAATAATGTGAAATTACGAGGGTTGATCCAGAAATAAGGTTCCCATCAATTTGACAAATAGACAACAATGTTGTCTATTCGTCTAAACGCTTCCTCAACGAGTTGGCAGCGGAGTTCTATGACATTGAGATACAGAAATTGGAGCACCGTCTACAAAAATGCGTAGAAAAAGATGGCGATTATGTAGAAAAATAGAGCAAAGTTTCATCTTTCCAACGATGTAAATTTCTATGAGAATAAACAATGTTGTCTATTTGTAAAATTGATGGGAACCTTATTTCTGGATCAACCCTCGTATATTAGGTGTACAAATTAATTCGGTGCCTTTTTTTCATAAAATTCAAAGTTTATTGCAAAAAGTCAAGTACAAGTTTAATGTTCGAAATAACTTCCATTATTTTCTATGACTTAACTCTATCTATTGGGTAGCTGATGAATGCCCTCGCGGAAAGAACTTGGCGGTTTTGACTCAATAAAGCCATCAATTCGGACCTCGTCAACTATTTTAAAATGCGTATTCGCCAGATGATGAAGCGACCAAAATAGGTGGTAATCTGACGGGTCTAGATCTGGCGAACAAGCCGCACGAGAGAGAATTTCCCAGCCTAATGTACAGGTCCTTCGTCTCTTTTGCAGTATGTGACCGCGCGTTATTGTGCAGCAGAATCACCTGCCTAGTCCTATTGCCGATAAAAGGTCATTTTCTATGGGCCACAACACTTTCACTCAAAGCAAAACAAATCATTTCGGTGGACTGAACAGCATTTTTATTCAATTGGAGTGCAAAAAGGGTGCAGTACCTCAGATGCTTTTTTTCGAATAACATCGTGATAACTACGGTTTCCTGAGGTTATATCGACAAAGCTGTCAACTATTATAGTGCTTCTTAAAGCTTAAGGTTGACACTTTCAAATCACCATAGGACAGGAAAAAAATCTGAACCAGAGTAACAGGATATTAAATACAAAAGCACTGAATTAATTTGTACACCTAATATATTAATCAATAGATGAATGAGATTTCACTTAATAATAAGGAAGCGCCTCGCAAATAGGACACTGACCGTTAACGTTAATATAAGATCGGTAGAACGCACGTTCCCCCTTCGATATTCCAGCCTCTCGAGAACGAGAACGAAAACCCCCGTCCGAGAGGAAAGTTGTCCAATTTCTAAAAAAAGAGAGTTCTTTTTTCTGTAAAAGGATCTCGCTCTGTGGCGTCTACATCCTCCCGTCGAGACTCTCGTTTACGCTACCGCGCTACTCTCTTGACGTTTAAATTGCGAAAATCGCGAAATTGCGACTGCAAAGTGTGTAGCCGTCGAGAGAGAGTCCGGGGCTGCTGAAGAGAGAATTCGGCTGCTGAAAAAGCGACGAGCCTTCGTCGCTTGGTATCACGATGGCGTATTACACCGCTCGCGCCAAGTGTCCGTACGGTGCAACGGTAATGCTAACGAGTACGTACGAGGCGGTACGGATCGGCGCGGGTCAATGCAAGAAGCGTAATGTGCATAGAGGCAACGGGGCGGTTGCACAAAGGTCCGACTACACTCCGGTGAAGTGTGGAAAGCGGCGCATGCATATTCAACGCACATGGCGAAGAGAGCGAGAGAGAGAGAGAGAGAGGGAGAGAGTACTACGCGCCATCGTAGTCATAGGAATAATAAAAATTCGAGGGTTGAAATTATTTAGATTTATGCCCGCTCTCTTGTCGTCGTGCGGTGCCGGCGCGCCGGTGACGAGGCGCGATTCGATTCCGGGGAACAAATTTCATGCATTATTCAGAACCCGGCCGCGGTGCAACCCCCGGTCAATGGAAACGATCCTTTGGAAAAAGTCGTTTTTAATCTCTCGCCCAGTCGCGCCTCAGTTACACGCGTACGTACCGCGCGTGTGCCTCCAGATTGTCTTCGACCCTTTAAGAAATTTCAGAAAACGGAAGGCGGCCCGCGCTTAAACGTCCGCACGGGGGGTCCCTCCCGAAGGAGGATATCACACGTGTAACGCGCGTGTAATATTTCCTCCCTCTCTTTCTCTCTCTCTCTTTCTCTCTTCTTTTTACGAAGCAGGCGACGAATTTTCGAGTCGCGTTTTCGACGTGTGCTCGTCGAGGTATCGCGTTATTTCTACGGATGTACCGCGGGGATTGACGAGAACAGTGTTCTCCGGATGTCTCTCTCTCTCCCTTTCTCTCTCTCTCTCTCTCTCTCTCCCCCTCTATCCCTCTCTTTATCTCTCCCTCTTTCCCTCTGCCTCGTTCATCCGGAATTATTCACGCGGAGGATCAGCGAGTACTGTGCCATCGGCGGCATTTGCGCGCACGAGGACATTTTAATCCCGCCCACGCAAGAACGTCATTCCCTTTGCCACGCGTTTAATTAATTGATCCCGCGCGCGGCGACCAATAATCGCCTTACCGCGGATTAACGAGTCTGGCATCTGGCACGGCGAAACTTTCGTTCCATTATCTTCGCGGACCATCGACGCGTCGCAACAGCAACGTCGAGCGAGCGCGATCAAATATGAGAAGAGATATTCTCTTTGTGCTCGTCATCTCTGTCGCGACTCTTCAGGCAGCCGACGGCAGGTTTTACTACCTGGAGAATGCAGACGGGCCGCGCAACAACGACGCGATCCTGGAGCAGTCCTCTCGCGACCTCGACCTCGCCTTCTCCGCGGGGGAGCCGCTCGTCGAGAACGTCGTGCCTCCGAACAGGAAGGTCAGTGTGAACAATCTCGGAAGCCGGATTTTCCAGAGCGCCCGTAAGTTCTTTGCGCGACAGACACCCCGCGCTCAACGCCATCCCCTCGTAACCGAGCAGAACAAAAAGTCGTGTAAAAGTCGAGATGCCATCAAGATGACGTCGAAAAGTAATCATTCATAGAAAATCAAAGTGAGGTCATTTAATATCTTAAATAGAATGATTTGTCGCTTTCGTGATTGCATCATGATTTGTCAATGACTTCCTTACTTATTTCTAGAACGTCCTTAAAACCTCCGCACTCAGCTATTCCTTACAAATAAATTGCTATTGCGAAAAAGTTTTAGTTACATTTGGAGTTATAATAATTTTAGTTTGTGATTTTAATTAGCTGTATATAAACAAAAGTATAAACATAATAAATAGAATACTGTTTGCATGAATAATTTTGTATATAGCTACCAACATGTTCAATTTAAATATATTGAACAGTTTATTTGGGAAGAATTAAATTTGTAAATTCCAAAGTCATTATTTCATCAATTTTCTGTCATGATCAAAAAATGACCTTTGGAGATCATTTTACTGCCGTTTTGACATTATTGTGAGTTTTTATTCTGCTTGGGATACGTCGTTCTGTTCCAGCGCGCTTTCGTCGAAATGCGATGTTCGATAAAACGCTTTGATTTACGTGAGAAGACGAGCGTGGTGCTCTGAAAATTTCCCAATTTTTCGTCCACAAGTGGTAAAATAGCAATTCAGTGCGCTTCGTGCTCAATTATAAACCAGCACTCTAACTTTTGATGTGAATCCGGGAATCTTATCGCAGCAGATCATAATTATCTATCAAATAGAGAGAAATGATAGTTAGAGAAGAATTGTCGAAATCGCATTACTACTAGTCGATATTTTTTAAATGCTTATATCGCACAGAAAAGACATTACAATTCGTTGAAGCTTTGGTTATACTTTTACTGATTCATTTTATATATTTATCACTAGGTCGTACTTATATTCAATAATTACAGAAAAAAATTAATAATGAGTTACGATTTAGGTGACTGGTACGAATTAAGCGAGTCTCCTCTATTTTTGGCATCAACTATATTCTTTTTATGGTTTTAACTACAAAAATAATAATACGCATGCAAGGTTATCATCACTGATACTTTCTAATAACACTTATTAGAAAAATACTTCTCATAATTATAATTATTTCACTATCGTGCTTTCTGTGCCTTCGTGAATCGACTTAGTCACTTCCGATCACTCTCGGTATTGTTGCAAGTGCACACGTGGAACCACCACGGATTTGGACGCGAACCGCCTTGAGTTTGACGATGCTGCGTCTTCTGCACCAGGTGTACACGGTGATCACACCGGAGAGACCGTACATTGAGCTGAGCAGGGAGACGGACCGACCGGTTGCGTATTACAGATTGGGCGAGCCAACTGCCAGGAGGAACAGTTACGACGACGTCATTCTCGTGCCGGACAAGAGCCGGAAGTCGATGAAGCTGAACGGCAATAATAAGGGTGAAGTGATCCTGGAGCTTCGTGTCATAGCCAATCACGATAGCGCATGATTGCTCTCGAGCGCGTCGCTGACGGACCGTCGGCGATTCCTCGCGAAACGAGAATCGCAGGACCGCCGATGGAGATCGACAAGTAATACAGTTAAATCGCATCGTTTTTATTACGTTCAATTTACAACAATGAATATGTTCTATCAATACATATAGATACATCGGAGTATTATTATCATATTTACAGTGCATATCACATATCGAATTCGGATCGGAGCTGCCTACCGCTCTGATAAGGTCGTTCGCGACCCTTCAATTTCCGCTGTAAAATGATTTCGTAACTTTCCCTCCCTCCCGCTTCCTCTCTCTCTCTTTCTCTCTCTCTCTCCTTCTTTTTTTCTTTCTCCCGCTCTCTTTTTTTCTCCCCTTCTCCCTTCGGTTGAACCGCTCCGCGCTTTTAAATGTACAGAATCGAGCCGGCGAAGATAACGTTGACCGTCGATTTGAGAAAGCGATAACTGCGACACGTTCGAATACGCGGCGTCTCCGAAGACGTATGTAAAGGTGCGACAAAGCTCTACGAGACTCTACGATGAGTAGCGGTGGATCCCTTACTCTCTCTTTCTCACTCACTCTCTCTCTCTCTCTTTCTCTGTACGAGAAATTTTCGCGCTTCCGGAAAAGAAGAAGGATACCGCGACGATCACGCTCGGAGAGCGACGAGCGGTCTACGATCGTCGTTTACGGAGAAAATAATGTAATAAAAATCGTCAGAAAATTGTGTAACGCTAGACCATGGCGGGATTATGATTGAAATTATGATGTGTGTTGTAATCTTTGGTGATGCATTTCATTTAGTCATGTATATATATCACCAAAGATTGCAATACACATAATAATTTCAGTCACAATTCCGGTATGGTCCAGCATTAAAAAATTTTTCGGTAATTTTTATCACAATATTTTATCCCAGTGTACGGAGACACGACGGATACCTCACACACACCCTCACCCGTCCACACACTTGCACACAGACACATCCATATACACCCACACACACAGAGACTAAAAGAGAAGGTCCGCCTTCGGTGCGCGATCTCGGCGGTCAGGTCAGGTGAGATCGGGTCAGGTGCTACATTACGGCGAGGTGGTGGCGCGATCGAGTGCAGAATTCGTGGAGGTGTCGAACGGTGGAGGATGCGATTAACGACTCTACACGACTATCTTAGCGATGAAAGAGTGGAAAGACCGAGCCGCGTTCCTTAGCGAGTCCACGCGGTGCCGTAGCGGCGAGTTATTCCGTTACTTGCGAGGTCTGTTGCTCGACCGGCGGATCGCCCTTCGGCTCCTTCACGTAGTCCACCACTAATTCGAGGCCGATCAGAGCGCGCAGATCCTTCCGCTCGTCCTCCGGACTGGCAGCCGTCACGCTGCCGGAGTCCTCCAGCTTCGCGATATCCTCGTCGCCAGCTTGCAAAAAGCATCGCGAGGTTACCAACGCTTCGTCCTGACCGCACGTATGCATGCATCGCCCCTTTTAGATCCGTTCTGTTCTTTATCGCTGAACGGGTATTTGAACTGAAGCGAATTAATGCAAGCCAGAACTAACGAGTGCACAGTGATCTGAGATTGATATTTTTTGGCCTGAAATCATTTTCCCAAGTTTCACCTTGAGTTGATATAAACGCAGTTTTATGATGCTCTACGGTCAAACGATCGTAAATGGTTATCATTTACTATTCTTTAATCGCTCATCGGTAAGTATGATGCTAAAAGTATTGCTTATTCAAAGGTGACTTTTAGTCATATCTGCCACTGTCAAAATTGTGCTACAATTATATTATTTTAAATAATATATGGTACAATTATATTATTTTAAATAATGATGGTAGCGTTATATATAATTAATACTCGAAAAGAACCCACGAAAAGAATGCCACGAAATAAATAATTTCACATTATGTTGTGTTTTTATTTCTGAAGGAAGATAATAATTAGATTTGTGGTTGAAATAAACATAATGTGTGTATTGCTTCGCACGTCCATACGTATCGTGAACATCGGAGAAAAAGTATAGTAATTTAATGATACAACGACACAGGCCGCTTGATATTTCTTGCACTCTCATTCGAAAGTGCTGTTCCAACTGTCCTTGCATTACTTGTACCGACTTCAGACCTAATGCAGCCAATATAGAGAATTGTTGCACTGAGTTCCTCGGCTATAAAGAACAGCGGCGCTTACATCAGTTTTGTTATTAAGAACGCTTCAGAGTACACTTTCTGAACTAGTACAGCCAGTTCAGCAATAAAGAACAAACATCTTCTTCCTCCGTAAAGAACAGCGCGGGTAACTTCGAACGGAATTTCTTTTTTCTCTTCCGAAAAGGTAAGCGCGGCGAAAAAGGAGAACGTGTTCTCGAAAACGTTGGCGTTAACGCGATGGAAAATCACATTCGCGAATTATTCGAGAAATAACGCGATGCATGCAAAAAAAATAACTTTCTACCATCAGCAAAACTGACTTGAATTCATCTAATAGGCTGATCGTTTTACTGTCATTTCTAAGAGTTGGTTATTACAATTGGAATGTATTCACTGTCGTTACCGTTGTCGTTGCAGGAGAGGCAAAGAGTAGTTGCAATTTCTGTTACTGTTTTCACAGAGTTTTGAAGACCCTTTCTTTACAATTAACGAGGAGATGAAAATTATAAGGCTCTTCGATACTCAATCGATTGGTTAAAGAAAGAAGAGCCATTAAGAACACGGATCGTCTAGTGCCATTAAACGAAAATAAATTATGTTATATATAACATTTATTACATTTATATACTATAAACTATGTTAACAAGCAGTAACATAATCCAATTATAATTGGCTGCCAACCAAATAACGGTAAAAGTAGCGATTATATTCGTCACCCAGAAAGTGCACTTGTGTTACCCCATTATCGTTATCAACGGAGAAAGAAAAATGACAAGCCGTTAACATGTCGTCGCTGCGAGGCAAGGATTTATATTGGATAAAACTAAAAGTCCACATTTTAGTTACCGGTATTTCGCATAATTGTATCGTCCGAGTTCAAACAACTAATAAATTGAACCTCGACGAAGACATCAATTGTCTTACTTCGAAGAAAATATCTCAGCCATCACGGCTGTATTTTAGTTTCTTTAACGGATCTTTGATCTCTGTATGATTTCGCGCGTTTTCGCTTCCGCTCCGGGAATACCTGGCGAATGCATCGCACCGTCGCCGAGCGATGCGCCCCGACCGATCTCGAATAAAAAAGCAAAGAAAAAAGAAAGGAAGAAAGACCTAGAATAAGAATGGAGATCGTATATGGGCAGGGATATAAAGTTGCACAGCCTACCTTCGTGCGACTCCTTCGAGTTCTCCTCGTTCTCCGTCAACGACGTTTCCCTCGTCTGGATGTCGCGGTACGTCTTCGTAAGATGCTTCAGGATGTAATTGGTACCCCGCGTGTTCTCGTCGGCCTGGCACTTGGACGTCGTCGCCTCGTCCCGGGTAAGATTCAACGGCCGGTTGCCGTTGTACTCCTTCGACTGCTGCGGCACGCTGAAGGCCGAGCAGTGCTTGCTCTTGAAGGGCAGCTGCCGGTCGCTGTGCTTGCGATCCCAGATGTGGCCGGAGACGCGGAGATCGATGAAGAAGTGCAGGGGGTCGATGCCGGGGTAGGACTGCGGCATCGGGTACGGCGGGTACCAGAGCGGACCGGGCAAGAAGTCCGGTCCGCCGGGCATGTTGCCGGGCAGAGCGAAGCCCTTGACACCTTGGAGGATCTCGCAGCCCCTGGCGGCCGCCGGCAGGCCGGGCAGGAACCCCCGCGAGAAGTCGAGCTTCTTCTGCTCCGGCAGCTGCACCTCTTGCTGCTGTTGAGCGGACACGATACTCTTCGCGTTGCGATCCTCGTAGCTCCTGCCGTTGTCGACGAAGTTACAGCTCCTGCGCTCGAGCTGCTGCGATGACTCTTCCGGCTTGACCTTCCGCGGCTCGCCGCCGGGGAAGACGTTCTCCGGCGGCTGCGCCTGCTCGAAGTGCCGCGGCCGCTCGTCGAAGAAGCTCTTGCCGTGCTGCCGCGGGAACTCGCTCTTGTTCTCGTCGATGGGCTTCAGGATGTCGGCGCCGAAGCTGGGCTTCTGATCGTAAGCACCGACTTTGCTCTCCGCGTCCGGATAGACGTCGGCGCGCTTCGCCTCGCTCTCTAATCGCGCGTCCGGCGGTCCCTGCGACGGCTGCTGCGTCGTGTGGAAGTACTTGTCCGGGTGCTGGTGATGGTGGTGGTGGTGATGCGGCCGTTCCTTCGTCGTCAGCTCCAGCGGCCGGTCCCGGGCGTCTCGCCAGGAGCGCTTGCGACGTCGCGACGCGTTCGGTGCACCGCTACCGCCGCTGCCGTTTCCGCCACCGCTGGCCGACGGCGTCTCCGCCTTGGCCTGCACGAAGGAGCGCAGCATCTCGCTGAAGAAGAAGCTGTGAGGTGTCAGCGGCACGTTGTACAGGTACGGGGGAGTGGCCGCCAACAGGCGGGACACCAGGTCGCCGCCCGACAAGGAGGCCGGCGTCTTCAGGGTCGACGGGTCGCCGGTGGTGGTCGTCATCGCGGCAGCTGCGAAAGAAGGGAGGGAAATCGCGAGAGTCATTCTCCGAGCGGATTGATTCCACTGTCGATTCATGAGCCGACGTCAAACGAGGCATGAGACCATCGTGAGAAACGGTTTTCATGTCACAGCGTCTACACGGAGGAAATATTGCGGTAAAATAACTACATAAGTTTGTAACGCTGAAATAAACCGACATTGTTGTTGAAATTACTATGCGTGTTTTGTCATTTTTAGTGATAATAAATACGATATATTTCAGCATTGCAAATTTTTATAGTAATTTTCGTTACGATATTTTTTCCCATGTAACCGTAACGGCCCGGATAGACATATTTCGGTATATTGCCTGCATGGTGATTAACATAAGTGTGTTAAGATGCATATAACAATCAGAGTTGCCACAGAAGATGAATTTTGAAGTTCCCTGACTCCCTCATGTTTTCCAAACGATAATGGAGAATTTTCTATGAGCAATATGTAATCTTATACTTAATCTTAAACATTTAGAAGCAAGGTCTGCAGGAAAAGTAGCTTATATTATTAGAAACAATGCAAATTTAAAAGTTTAATGACATAATACAATCCTGAATGCAAATTCAGGCCAATAAAAAGTAAATGAGTATTGGGAAAAAGAATATAAGTGAGAGCATTTGAGGGAATTGTGAGCAAAGTTCAAAATTCCAGGTTTTTTATATCTTTTCCTTCTTCCAGGTTTTCCCTAATATCTTAAATTTCCATGACTTTCCTGATTTTCCAATTTTTCTATGGCCTGAACAAGCATTTTGTCAGTATATAAAGCTCATCTGGTATCACGAAAATTGCGACGATATTCTGATGCCATAAATATTGCTTATTTTGCACGAAGGAGAACGCAATTCGAAATTATTGTAGTAATAAGAAGACAATGTTTAAATTATGGCGTTAAAAAATTAAAATTATTAAGTTAATATTAAAATTATGGCATAATAAATGAGTATTTCTTAAAACAAACATATATTAAATGTTACATGTTGCAATGACATCGCAAAGCATACATTAAATGTTTGCATACTATGCCCGGCATTTCTGTCTATCTGAAAGACTTCCACTTGTAGTCAAGGTTGGGAAAGTAATTTTCTAGAAGCAACTCGTTACTGTTAGAACACTCGTTACTTTACTCGTTACTCGAAACATTTTGAAAAAAAAAAACTTATTATTGTTATTCAAGAAATAAGGAATCGTGGCAATTCCTGTTACTTTTTTCAACGAGTTTTCGAGACCTTTTCTTCACGATTCGCTGCTGCCAAGGTAACGATAAAAGTAAGAATTATATGTATATTCGCCATCGTTATCCAGAAAATGTAACAACGTTATCGTTAACGAGAAATGGAAAATAACGCCATTAACAAGTCGGCGTCGGAGGAAAGTAACTTGTAATATAACGATAACGGCATTACAAGTAACGCGTTTTTTCCGAACCCCGCCAACAGTAACCGCTGCTTATCGCGAAGATCGAGGAGACTTCGTCTCCACCGTTGCGTGCAACTTTATTTCGCCGTATATCTCGGGGGTAAATTTTTGCGCTTCGATGCCGCAGCGAATATCTCGAGAGCGAACGGGAAGGAAGAGAGCGGCAATGTGGGCTCGACAATGTAATGACTGTGTACGAGGCGCGTACAAGCGCCACTCGGCGCTGTGGAAGTGAGCCACTATTGTCTTCTGAAATTAATTGAACGGCTCCCAGCCTTAAGTCTAAGACCGAGGAAGCGGCGTCTACGGTAGGGAACGAGATGAACCCGGTCTGGTATCGCGTCATTCATTAAGGAATACTAATTTCTGTCAAGTGCACGTTCGGTTTCGTCCGTGCGCGTGAATCCCTCGAGGGGAAGTTTACCCCGGGATCTTCCTCGCGCGGACTCGTAGGCGCGGGTGTCTCGGTTTCAACGTCTCGTCGCCGGAAAAATCCGTCCGGAATATCCGATAAGAACATTATCTTCCTCGCGAAAGAGATTTGTACGAGAAACCGAAAAATTGCGAATCACCGCAGGGACATGCGGAACGCCGAAGGAGATCGCGATTTCTCGATTCCGCGGCCCGTATGGCGCAAATGTTCAAAAGACATCCCAGAGACGTCGCAGAATGTCCGAATATCACCGGGACGTCTCTGGGATGTCTCTCGGACATTTGTGCTGTGTGAGAACTGTAGCCACCGATGACTGCGAATTGTCGCGCGGAGACGCGCGGCGACTCGTCATCGTCGTCGTCGCGGTCGAAGAAATTTCTCTTCGCGGCGAAAAAAGCAGAGATTCCCGAAAGGGTCTCCTCTATCTCTCGTCGACGGAAAGACCGAAGAGCAACGGGGCGTGGAAGGCAGAAGAGAGCGAGAGCGGAGGTCCGCGTCCGCGCGCGCGGAGAGCGAGAGCGAGAGAGAGAGAGAGCGCACGAGAGAGAGGGATCGGGCATTGTTTCGGTCCATTGTTTCCCAAACAAACGGCGTCCACGTTGTTTCGTCAGGAGATATTATGTTCAGCCAGACAGGCAGGACGAACGGGAAATGGACTGCTGTCAGTTTTACTCTTCGTGATAAATACGCCGCCCGTCGCCGGCGCCCGCCGCCGCCGTCGCCGCTGCCATCGCCGCCGTTGCAACGACGCGGCCATAATTCCGTCCATCCGTATCGCGGGATACGCGTGTCGAAGTTGCGGTCGCGCTGACAGAATCGCCCTTCTTCTCGCAACCTAACGCCAGATATCTCCCGACCTCGATATCGAATTCGCGGCTGACCCCGTGAGAGAGCTCCCTGCTGATCGAGAGAGAAAGAGAGAGGGAGAGATCTCCTCCGACGAGAGCACCGCGTAGAGATCATTTCGTGATCCCATTCGTTGAAGTTCCCCGTTCCTCGTACTCCTCCGCGGCAAGTTCGACGGCCTCTCCGCGCGCATTTTCCCCGTGCATCTTCAATTTTCCGGAATGCCTCACCGCGCGAAGAGCCGACGGAGACGCGGCATTACCGCGAAAGAAAGAGAGAAAACAGCGACGAGAAGGAAATTCTCCGGGGCGTCGGCGATTTTTTCAGACTCGTTTAGGAGACAATGATAGTGGCTGCGGCGGCCGCTGTATTCTAAAGACCGTAAAGGAAACTTTACGGGGCCGCCGTTATATTATTATTCCGCTCGAGGCGACACGGGTGGTGCGCGAATCACTTGGACATCGCCGTCGCTTCTTCATCGCGTCTTCTTCGACGTCCTCGTCACCACCGGCATCGAGAGAAAGAGAGAGAGAGGAATAAAGAGAGTCGGTCTCAGTTTCACGCGGCGAGAGGGAAGGCCGGTTTACGATTCATAAGACAACTCGGCGAATTGAATTAAGCTCGCTCGCGCTGCGGCAGCTGCCAGTCCCGTCCGCCACCGGGCGGCGCGAATCTGCATAATCCCGTTCGCGTCGACGATTCTAATTGGCGGATTGTTTCAATCTCTGTCGCTGCGAATATTTGCATTCGCGCTGCTGCTCTTCCTCTTCCTCTCGCGTGTCCCCTCCCTTCCATCCTACCGCCGCCACCACCGCCCTGCGCGCACCCTTCGTCGCCGTTACCGTCGCCGCCACCCCGTCGTTCTCTTAAACTCCGATCCTCTTGCTTTTGCAACCCCTCTTTCCGCGGCTCCGTCTCTTTTCTTTCAGCCCTCCCCGTAGCCTCCTTTCGGCATTCACTTCATCATCGCTATTTCCATCGCGAGATGCTGGGCGAGAGTTGACATAAGAGAGTATGAAAGAAAGAGAAAGAGAGAGAGAGAGAGAGAGAGATCATACATTCTGTATCTTTATCTCTATCATATATTAATCTTAATTGTTATTCTCACAGGATTAATCCTACAGCATAATAAAATTGATTTTATTTTATTCTCTCTCTCTCTCTCTCTATCTATCTATCTATCTCTGTCTCCCTTTCTCATATTTCTCTTCCGTGTGACTTTTATCCAGCTTTATAATATGTTTCTTCTCTCATTATGTACGTCGTTAAAGAGCGCTTCGCGTAAAATTTTTTCGCGTCTTTCCCGCTCTCCCACTCGCTCGCTCCGGATTCTCTCTCTCTCTCTCTCTCTCCCTCTCGGTTTATTCGACTCGAATTCGACGGGACACCTCTGTTCCCGCGTGAGCTTTTCTACGTCGCGCGCGTTTACACACCGGCCACTGTGTGTAAAACCTTGCGCAGTTATTTCCATTACGAAGATCGTCGGTCGGCGCGCGTGTTTTTCTTTCCGTCGCCGCGCGATATTCCCTATAAAAATTGTACGCCCGCGCAAAAGAAATATTTTGACACAATTGCGGGCGTCCAATTTGCGAGCCGTCTGTTTTATCGCGCATTGTTGAATATCGTGCGGACGCTCTCCTTCCGCGCCCCCTCCTCCTATCAGCCCCAAGGCAACCGTTCCGGTCCTCTCGAGGCTTTCGGCCGCTCTAACAATTTTTACATATTTTTCTATAGTCAGCTTGCGCAAATATTATTTCTGAAAGTATTCCCCGGAAAGATGTACCTCGACGGCAGTGGCCACGCAGGTGCATCTCGCTGTGAAGCCCGGATCCGAGGGAGTCTTCGAGCTGCCGCGCGCGAAAAATGTCTCCGCTCGCGTTCGGGTTTAAAGTGACGCAGTACGCGATGCGAAAATTGGCAACGCGACGAGAATGTCAATCGAGATGCGATCGGGACTAATGAGTTCGCTTTTGAAATTTTCGACGGAGTAGATTTGGAACGCAGCCGACAGCTTCGTACGAGGTTGCCCGGAAAATTTGTAAGTGGATTCACATCGCTGCCGCGATACGCCGCTCGTACAATTAATCGAACCCGCCCCGATGAAATATGAATGGCGAAAGCCGGGTGGCACAGCCGCGTCTCGAGTATCATCCTCGCGCTTCGTAGTCACACTTCGCCCCGTTAGCCTCCTCCTCGAGGAGACGCGCGATTCTTTTACCGTCCGCATAAATATTTTTATTGCGGGCCGCTCTCGCGACGGAACGGCTTCGCTTTGCATAGGGAGAAAAAAAAAACCTTCGGTCGCAGCAGAATCCGGGGCTTTTTTACGGTTGAACTCTCCGCGTAATTCAAACGTCTTTTTCTCTCTATGCGCCGCGCGTGCGAAGGAGCTCGAAAGTCGCCGGAAGACCCGCGGATGACGACGAAGAAATGGAGAGAAAGAGAGAAAGAAAGAAGGAGGGGGAGGGGCAGAAGAGAGAAAGAAAGAGAATCTTGGAAGCCGCGTTCCTCTGAAAAATAATTACGGTCCGAAACCGTACGCTCCTCCGCCACTTTGGACGGACTTTGTGACTTGACGACTCTCTTATTGTTGTTATTATTTTCATCTGCCGGTAATTATTCAGCGTCCAGGCCTGTTACACGATAAAATCGAATGTCGCAGTCGGATGTTGCAGTCGGATGTCGGAACGTAGCCGATGGTCCAATGAGGAGCTCATTTTTGAAAAATAAATTTTCTTATTGGACTATCGACTGCGTTACGACATTCGATTTGGACATACGGTTTATTATATAGCAAGCCTCGAAGATAAATCCGACTGAACGTGAAATGAAAGAATGTCAGAGGCAGTTTTAAAGAGGGCAGTCGTGCCTGTGGTAGCACAACAGATGATAGATAAATCACAGGAGGATAATGAAGTAGAGATATGCGAGGGTTCGAGCTAAAGAAGTAGCGAGATTCTGCTCGCGAAGAAGCAATCGCAAAGAAGCAAGCGCGTCGGCTTGATGCAAAAACGTCGCTCGAGTTCTCGCAATCATCTTCGCTCTATTCTCGATGTTAAATAGCTTTACGATTTAATCAGAATTATTGCATCGAATATACGTATCGCAAGCAAGAAAATTATTATATGCGTGCCGAGAGAAAATCTCGCGATTATTTATTATCGCATCGCGCGCGATAAAAGGAGGAAGAGGAAGAAGAAAGAGAAGAAAAGGCCTTGTCCTTCTCGTAGATCAAGCACGGAAAGAGAATATTAGCTTCAACGGCTAAATTAATTGTAACATACAGACACTTAAAATTTGAGCAGCCCCGAATCGGAATTTTGGTCGTATGTTAAGTCTTTAATTCTACAATGTAGTAGAAACTGAGATAGCAAAATAGATTAAGTTTCAATTCTAATAATATAACTCTTACTTTGGTCCGGATGACGTCTAAAATTTTCGCTTCTGCTGTTTTAATATTAAAATAAGTTTACATTGACAGTAGTATTAAAATTCACTATCGAATTAAAGGTTCAAAGGAGAAGTTAAAAAGTGTCATTATCGTCAAAGTAGATTTTTATTAGTCTATAAATCGTCTAAGTAAGTGCAAACTATTCTTAACCCTCGTGTCAATGGATAGATACCCGGATACCTGTTCGAAATTAAATATTATAATTTTTTCCGTTTTTAGGCGAATTTTTATGACGCTTCAGATTCCCATTCTGTGAATAAAACAGACATTTTTTGCACTAATCGGATGTTTTTATCTTCTTTTTTATAGCAGGTATTCACTCAGTACATTGACGGTAAGGTAAAAATGTATCCATTGGTCAAAATAGCGTCAAAATTCGGAGCGTAAGCAATTTTAAATGCTGCAGCAGCGAAAGAATTTGCTACTGCAGCAATTAAAATTGCTGTTCAAGTTTTACGTGTCCATATGTTACAACTCGTTTAGCCACTGAAGCTAATCTTTCTTCTCTGTGAGAGAATACCGTACCGCACCGGAGGGTACAGAGGGATATCGCGAGGATCTCTCGCAGCGCTGTGGCAGGTACAACGTCAATAAACGAGCGCGATGATCGCGTCGAAGGTGATCACCGCTGTCATCGCGATCGCGCCGCTCGCTCTTGCGCGCCGAAAGAAAACAAAGCGCTCGGCCGATCGATCGTTTCGATTATCATGTAGATGCAACATGCATAACGGGGATGTTTAACAGCGGGAGACACATTAAACGACCGGTTAAGCGGCGAAACCACGGGGCCTGGTGGGGCCGCGGGGGCGACTTTACGAAGGAAGACGCGTCGTTTGAAACTACCGCCGCGATGAGACGACCTGACTTGCAAACAAGAAGTCGAATTCGCGCGAATTTCGACTCCTCTTCTTTTGATCGAGAAGAAACGATCCTCTCTTTTCCTTCCAGGACAACGAGATGAAAAAAGACGAAAGACGAAAGGGGTGGAACGACGGGAGCCGCTCAACTAAACCGGATCGAGGAGAAAGGAAAGTCGAGAGGAAGAAAGGGGGATGTAAAGACACGAAGAATCAACGCGAAGATATTCCCGAAGGAGATACGATGTCCCCCCACGGATTCCCCCGCGCGAACGACCGCGTGTTGCCGATGGCGCGCGCGGTGATCACACTACTCACCTGAACACGCGACGGAGGAAGTCGAGGTCGCTCTTCGGGCACGCTCCTTGAGTACGGTCGCCCGGTCGCAGCGGATGATCTATGGATCTCCCGTATGGCCGGAGAGCGCGCCGTGCGGCGGCGATGCGTGCTGCTGGCTGCGCCGGCAAATGAGATAATAATCGGAGGACTCAGTCACTCGTCGTCGACGGCCGTGGCAGTCGGGATGGTTGTTCGGTGGTGTGCGGTGGTGCGCGGTGGCGGTGGCGGCGGCGGTGACGGCGGTGGGGATTGTATTCCACCCCTTGGCGACCGTCGGCGACCGAGGGCGCGAGAGAAACGGGGCGCGCTGCTGCGGAAGAGCGGCGCGCGCGAGGGAGGCAGAGGGTGCGAGTCCCCCTCGCCTCCCCCACGCGCTAGGGGGGCCAGAGGAGGCGAAACGAGCGCGAGGGGGATGAAAGAGGAGGAAGAGGAAGAGAGGACTGCGCAGAGGAGGAGGAGGGTTAGGAGGCGGGAGGGTGGTGGTTTTTGAGATGATCCGGCCAATCTGCGCATCATTTCCCCGATGCAACCCCCGCCTGGCCGCGCGCGTAGCGGCAAACCGGCGCGGATTCCGCACCACCGCAAGCAGCGTGGAAGCCCTGTTGAATGCCACATTTCGAGGCAAAGACGGAGCGGCGCGGCAGAGGGTAGGGGAACGCGCGAAGGATGGTACACGGCGGGAAGGTAGGCAGATAGAGAAAGAGGAGGGCGGCACTAAAAAGGGGGCGAATGACGGGGGGGGGGGGGTGGCGAGGCTGGCTCTCTCGCAGTAGCCCTGCCGGGGAAAAAAGTGGAAAACAGATATAGACGAAGGAGAATCTTTCTCCCCACGATGCGCCGCGCGCGCTGCGTTCTCACCCGCGCGGCTCCGTTTCTCTTCGCCAACGACGCGCCGGTGCGTCTCTTCGACGCGGCTATGTATCCGGGACGTGTTTGTACATCGCCGCCGAGCGATCGGATCCGCCGTACATCGATTGCTGACGCCGAATGGGGCTGAAAAAAGTCCCGGCTACTTGGTGGCCGCGCGTGTTTCGCCGAGAACCATCCCCGCACGCCCCCCGCGCTTCATGAACCTCCGCGATGAGCGAAGATCGGGCGCGTTCGAGTCGTCGCAAACCCGACGGGGGGCAACTTCGCGAGAACCGGGGAGAGTTTTCGGAACGTCGTTCCACGTAGATATCGTTAATCTCGTAAAATTCGTAATCTTTGTAAGTCTCGTGAAATTCGTAATCATCACGGAGGAAAAAATTCTGCTGCAACAGCAAACTGTTTGTTAATACATTCAGTAAGCAAGAAATTACGAACGCAACGTTATTACAGTGACATTTGGTAACATGTAACGTTTCCAAATATGTAACTCTTAATATTGTACACAACGTCATTGTTAATAATATTTCACCCAAACCTTAAAAATAATATTTGTACAATATTATTTTAATATTTAGGAATATTATCCCTTCCTTTTTTTTTAAGAAGAGAGCTGTTAAATCTCGCTTCGCGTTCAGTCTTCATCGCGTGCAAATCATTTCGCGACGAATTATTCGTGGTAAGATCAGTCGTCGATCCCTTTCACGTCGACGCAATGGGAACGAAACGGATGTTCGCGTGACGAGGATCGATCCCTAGCGCGCATCGAAATTCGAAATTTCGCAATGGGATCGATAGTTGCCGAACCCTTCATGCTGGGATTTAGATTTTAAAGGATATCGTGCCTCCTCTCGCCCTCGTCTCGCTTCGGCACGTTACGCACGCGGCGAAGCTCGCAGAGCCGTGCATGGGAACGCACGATGAGCGATGTGCTTTTCAATAGGCGGGAGAGCTGCGTGCGTGCGTGCGTGTGTGCGTGCGTACACGCGCGGGTAGCACGTAATACACATCGGCTCCGCTCAATCCGTCGAAGATCGAAAGAACGGAATCGACGATGCGCGCGATGAAAGATTCTGAGACAGATTGCCCGATGTGATTTCTTGTCGAAAATTCCACCGGTTTTTATCATCGTAGAGAAATCTCTTTTTAACAAGGTGACTATTGTGGAGATGAATATTCCGATCGATGCAATAATATTACCATCTGCCTAATTTACGTAAGACGTGTAAGACATAACCCGAGTCGAAATTTTGATGCATTGATACTCTTAAGGATAACCTGCACCTAATTAGACGGCTTATAAACTAATAAAATCTTACTTTCACAATATTGACACTCTTTAACTTTTCTCTTGAACTTTTAATTCTACGGATTGGATTTTAATGTTATTTTCAATAACCTATTTTGACGCGAAAAAGGAAATTTAAGACATTATTAGGGTCGAAGCAGAAGTTATATTATTAGGATTGAAATTGAACCTATATTACTATCTTAGCTCCTACTATGTTGTAGAATTAAAGGCTTAACATACGTCCAAAATTTCGATTCAGGAACTCTATCTCATCGCATGCAACAAATTAAATATATAAATATATATATATAGAATAGAATAGAATCAATTTTATTATGCTATAGAATAAAACTAATGAAGGCAACGATTAAAATTAATACACCATAAAGATAAGGATCAGTCGTCGTAAAAAAAAAGAAAAAAAGTGTAAGAACAAGAATGAAAAATGCTAAGAAATATCACACGATTAATGATACACACACACACACAATGATGAAATTAAATATATTGTCAATAGGAAGCCAGTGAAAACGAGCTAACGAACATACACCTCGTAAATTGCAATTTACCGTGCTCTCGGTGATTCAAATTTTAGCGGAACACTGAGGTGATGAACGGAAATCAGCGAGGCAGTCACAATGCGTTAATTAATCGCCGGGTCGCGAGATAATTGCATTCTACGATATTTCTTCCGGACGCGACGAGTAATACCGCCGTGACACATATTCACGAAAAATTAAGGACGTCCGAGATTGTCGAGCATTTCCCTCGGAGACGGGGTAAATTGGCCCTTTCGCGCAACGCGCAAAGCGGCCGCTTGACGGAGGGGAAAAGGGGGGGGGCGAAAGGGGCCTGGAGAGCGCGGGCAGTAAATAATGCGCCGAAAGTTTATCGTACGCGCGCATTTATTATTAATCGGGACTTTTCCTGCGGCGCGCAGCCGCCGCGCTCTCTTTGCCCGACACGTTTCACGGAGGCTGGATGACCACTTACGTCGCACCGTACATGAAACGATGCTAATTGGTCCGCCGCGAAGGGTAGCAACGCGCGAAAGCACTCGCACCACTCGGCACCCCCAAGTCGGCGCCCCGTTACCGTCCTGCCTGCCTGCCTCTACCTCCTTCTATCTCCNCCCCCCCCCCCCCCTCCGGTCCCGACTGAATCCAATGGGGACGAGGACGAGGTAAATCCGTGCACGCACCCGCGACACGTTCCGCTCATTAATTATGTAAAGAATTTCTCAAAGTTGCCGCGCTCTCGCATCCCACGTGTGCTGTTAAACGCGGCCGACTTTTACCCCCTCCGATATCCGATTCGCTTTTTATTAAACGCTCGCGTGCTCGCAAAAAAATGCGCCGCCGCATTATCGCGGACCGGAGGTTCCCGGAGGTCCCATTTCGTGTAAATCTTGTTCCTTGGTTAATTCCGATGTAATTAGGATGACGAAAAGTGAAATATTATATGTTTTCATGGAAAAAAGGAATTAGCTGTCCATATAATACAACTGAAATTTAGTTTACCAGGCCTAGTTCTTAGCTGTGGCAGCTAAAAACTAGATACAGGGGCAACAAAATTATCTGAACTAATTAAATTTCGGTTGTATTATACGGACAGTGAATTTTCACCTGTGGAAGTTAATTTTTTTTTTCTCCATGATTATCCCATTTCTATTTTTCTTATCACCCTTTTCGGGAGTGAAACGGAAGGAAGACGTCTCTTAAATCGCGCTTTCACGCGAAGTCGTCCACTTGTCCATTTGTGAGAATCACGTGACCCTTGTGGAATTATCATTACTTAACAAATTCCCGTCGAGTCTCGAACCTCTCTCATTTCCGCGACGCGACGCGACGGTTCTCGCTCTTTGACGAGTGACGCTCGCAATGCATCAGGATGGAACAATGAGATGCGAGCGTATGAACTCCGCGGTCAGGTCATAGCGCGCGACGATTCGAAATCTCCGTTCCCGAGGGAGGTAGCCGGAAGGACGTAGGGCGATAGGGAGGAGGGTGTCGTGGAAAAGGGGGGGCAAAGAAGGGTGTACCGTCCCGCGCGGACGAGCACCCTAAATTTCAATCGACGATTCGACAGCACCGAGAGTCTCTTCTCCGGGTAGCGATCGCTCGAGTACCCAAAGAGGTAGCGCTGAACGGATTGAGAGGGACGGGAGGAAGTTCGAGAATGCGAGAGAGAGAGAGAGAGAAAGAGAGGGAGGGGAGGGGAGGGGAGAGAGTGAGGTTGGGCGAGGGAAACAATTTACCCGAAATTCGCCTCGTCGCGTTCGGCGACTGGATACTTATTTGTCCCCACGGCAATCTGTCGACTCCAAACCCGCGCGCCAACCCTTCTTCTCCAAGCCTAGCGCCCGCTTCCACCACCTCCGCGCCACCACTACCGTCACCATCGCCACCGCCTCCACCTTTCCGGTCGCCCCCTGCAATCCCGATCTGCCGGCTCTGTGCCCCGCCACCAGCTGCCAACACCGGACGCCTTCTCTCGCGACGAGGAGAGAGCGAAACCGCGAAGCCTCACGGGAATTTTAAACACCGACGATTCGTCAGTGCTCTTTCTTCGGCATCCACCCTCCACCCACCTCCCCGCCAGACCATTTCTCTGGAGCTTCTTCCTCGAAATCGCGATCCTTCCGCTCGTCTCTCCGTTTTCCTCTCTTTCCTCTTCTTTCGTTAAACTGGCGTCACATGATGCATGATTTTCGTTGCGACCGATAGCGTCCGTAAAAGGCTAACAGCCCTGACGAGTTAGTTGCATCGTGAAGAGTGCAAGAAAAATATAGACTATCGGTAGAACCCGTTTTTCGTTTGTAAAATTCAACGGCTACGAAGACTGGTTGCTTTAATATTAAAGTATAAATTCAAGAATAAAGTACAAGCGTCAACTTGAAGCTAACCGCGACGCGTAGATAACGATACCATGACATGACGTGACATTTAAACACACTATTGAAACTCGAGCACTCGTGAATGCGCCCGGTGCACTGATTGGTGCTCGCAAGTAAGCAAGCACATATTGCACAGCGGCAATCATCGAAATTATGCACGCCAGACTGCCGCGCTCGATGCACAGTAACGGCCCATGCAGCACTTATCCGATATGGTCCACCGAGAGACCTCGACTAGAGAGAGAATGGCTTATGTGTCGTTTAGCATCTTACCGATATACCCTGCCAATAACAAGAAGAGCAAGAAGAGGAAAAAGGAGGTGGACTGAGCAAATGAAGATGTGTGTGCTCAGCGAGCTGAACTGCGTACACACGTGCCGGTGAGCGTGCACGTAAGAAGGCAGCGTGCATCGTGTAACGCTAGCTTTATCCCGCACCCCCCGTTCACCCCCGATGGACGGAATTCAAGAGCGACAACGCGTCTCTCCCTGCGATGGGTACTTCGCACAATGCGGTTACAGACAGATCTCGGCATCCCCCTCCCTCTTTCTCTCTTCCTGG